AGAAATTAGCGTTCCCTAAGTTGATGAGATTACTCTTAATCCTATAAAGCCACAAATAGGTCAATACGTATGTTTTCCACAATATTACATAGTTTAAAGCCCTTCCATATGCACAACAAGCTCATGTTCTTAGAGCTTGCTGAATGAAATCCTGAATCAGCCATGTAAAATATACTAAACTGGATGATATTGTGTTAGATTTATGTATGTAAATAACAGCTTAGTCTATTAAAATGTTCTCATTGACATCTATAACATAAATCTATAAAACATACTAGTACAATATATAAATATAATTTACAATGATAGATCCATAAAAATATCACAGTTGATACAAAACTGAACAGACTAAAGACAGGACTGATCCTACATAAAATGAAATAAAATAGTTTTGAATTAAATTACAATGTTATAAACATAACCTGGCCAGCATATCTAATCTTCGTATATAACATGTTAGGGGGTCTGGTTATTTTATTTATTTTAAGTTACTAATGCAATCAATTACATTTCATGGGTTAATAAGTCTGAAAAAATATTGACATGTACATCTCATCAGGTGGGTTATATACAAATGATGAAATGTTTAAGTATTTTATGTCACGAGTAATAATAAATTGCCATTGCTTTTGCCTAAAACATAAGAATGCTGATGGTTGAATGGATGGAACTTATACATTTACAGTGGTATATACATGTATACTATGTATCATAACAACACTTGCACGTTGAAAGTAAATATACAAAAAAAGTTTTTTATTCTTGTCTTATCAGCAATTTTTCTATGTGGCTGATCAAAGTGATGTAAACTCAGAGAGGCTGTCAGAGGCGTGAACCTAGCAAATTGAGGTGAAATATGTTTATTCAACTCATGTACAGTTATCACTAAATGTTTCACAGACACTGCTACCCACCTATTACACAGACGTATCGTCGGTGTATCATGGCGGAACTTCCTCCGGGACTAGGTTTCGGTAAGATTTTTTATTTCCCGATTTACACCTACTTATAAGTCACGTTGTAGATAATAATTTGGCTCGAAGTTAAGGAAGATAGTCTAGTTTGAGAATAGGTCGATGGTTTTAGGTTTTATATGTTAACAAAGACACAATTCACGTATTTAGTCCCTCGCTTTTCTTACACTGACGAACGACCAATATCTGTGTAATATTGGCAATATTAATGCCGATCGTCAGTGTAAGAAAAGCGAGGGACTAAATACGTGAATTGTGTCTTTGTTAACATATAAAACCTAAAACCATCGACGCATTCTCAAACTAGACTATCTTCCTTAACTTCGAGCCAAATTATTATCCACAATGTGACTTATAAGTAGGTGTAAATCGGGAAATAAAAAAATCTTACCGAAACCTAGTCCCGGAGGAAGTTCCGCCATGATACACCGACGATACGTCTGTGTAATTAGGTGGGTAGCAGTGACAGAGCCTTAGGTCAAACCAATGGTTCCCACTTCAGCCCTGAACATTACTGCTAATTTATGAGAATGCCCCAAAACAGAGAATGTGTTTAAATGGAAAATAAAATGAATTCAACTGTAATTGATCTAATAAAATAGGAATTTTTACTTTTATCAAAGGGACAATTTTACTATCAAATGAAGGTTTATGAGCATTTAGGGTGTTCTAAATTCATCATCAGAACACTCTGTTTAATGAATGTATCAAATATATGGGTCCATACTGAATCAATGAGCAAATAATTACAGTAATATGAAGTCTTACTCTCTGTCGCTATAAGGACTTGATCCAAAACTCAAAGCCAGAATTAACAAACTGAAACTTCTCCCAAATACAGGTACGGGAAAAAAATCTGTCAGTAAATATTGCTTGGACCAGCTGAAGTGTTCGTATTATAGTTGTGTTCACATTATAAGGATCCTTGTTAATTTTGACAATGAAGTCATTGGAACAAAATGGGACAAATTATATCCAAACTTCAAGTTCATCTTGATTCACAATGTTTCTCTTTAGGCCCAGTAGAAAGCAATGGTGCTTCAAGCTGCTAACTTTAGACTAGTACAAATACAAACACTAGATTGGTAATTAATTATGTAATTAGGAACCGTTCAGTGGAAGAGTGTCCCAATGCCTACATTGGATCACTAATCTCAATTAATAATTCTATAACAGTTAAAACATTCTCAATTTCAGATTAAAACTCGTACATGTAAATCAGCACAGATGGATACACATTATATTTCCAGAAACAAAGATTAAAACAATGAAACAATTATATCATTGAAGGAATAAGAATGGCGAGAGGGTTTTAAATGTTCAAAGCAATCTTCAAATATCTTACCTAACATTAGTTACACTTTGATTACCTGAAATTGTTTTAATATGTATCAGTATCTTCTTGGCTTTCTTGAGATGAAATTGAATCCTTATGTATGTTAATATATAAATTATTCAAAATCCAAACCAGTCAGACTGCATGACATTGGCTTTAAAAATTTGAAGATATAAAATGTCAAGAAAAAAAACAAGACCTAACAATGATCTTAGATAACACTAGAAAAGCACCCAGAATGGTAATATCATGTTCTAGGACCAGATGTTGATCTAATTATGTCTTTAATATATCTACTGTCAGGTCAAGTTGTCCTGAGTCCAAAGACCAATACTTTTATTGATTCCTTAACAAGATATCACAAAACAACTTCAGTTAAACCTGAAATGGAACACTGCTGAAACCAGATAAACATGGAACCAGAAAATGGATTGAAAACTATTTATATAAGACTGTTTGCTTTGTAGAAGAGTTCAAATAAGTGATATTAAGAGATACAGTGAAACCTGTCTAAGTGGAACACCTTTGGTACCTCTTAAAGTGTTCAACTTGGAAGGTGTTCAACTTTGAGGTTCATTTAACATTAAGTCGGTTGGTCTTGGGACTCTGAGAAGTGTTCCACTAACAAAGGTGTTTCATTTCTAGGTGTTCAACTTTACAGGTTTCACTGCACATATATTAAAAGAAACATTTAAAACTTAACACTCACAACATGATCCATCTTAATACTTATCACATCTTTTTCTTCCATTAGTAACATCAGTCTAATGACAGGGAAGAAAATGAGATGTCACAGTTTATCATGATGACATGAGCAGTCTCATTAAACTGTACTATTCTTTCCAGTTAATTTTAAATGTTAACTGATTATTTATTTGTTATACCTTTGTTATTTTAATTGTGTGTTGTCCAGTTGGTAATATCTAAATTCTTCTCCTTGGTATAATTTTATATAAGGATCACACAACAAAACACATATGTACTCACTGTACTTTTCCTATTGGCATATTACTTTACAAATATTGGCTGACATGTTAAAGAATGGAGTGTAGGGGAATAGGGCTTATGTTACAAGTGTTGACACTTTGTGTTATTAAGATCTTAAAAGTATAAAATAAGGATAAAGTATTAGAATACCTACAGGTGCTTAGAAACCACTTCATCCGAGGGTTATATGTGACACTACATGGCATGTCTAAACTATACAAAATCATGGTTTAATTGCTTCACATGCATGGCAAATGAATATGAATGCTGAATTTGAAAATACTTCATTTTCTATGAAATAGTCATGTTATTTATAACCGGCCATTATATAGCTTCAATATTCTTGAATAACAGTTCCTGGCAAGAATAAACATGGAGCTTAGCAATGTTTACATTTTCTAAAGCTTTTGTAGGTTAAGACACACACCATCATAGAAATCTTGACACAGTTCCCCATTCTTACAGGGAATATAGAATAAATATGAACCTTTTATAGCTCTGACATGAAGAACGTCTTGTTAACATTTCACTCACCACTAGTTCTTAACTTTGTTTAATAAAGAATAGTCTTAACTCATTTATCTCATGGATTAAAAATCTAATGAAGCATAAATTATATACACATCTCATCCATCTCCGATTGCTCCACAACACCCTTTATAGGGTCACCATAAATAAATGACACCCTTTTTGCTGAAGTGAGGATTTCCCATGTTAAAAGAAGAAAATTTTCATACATCAGTTCAGTGGTTGAGATATACAAAATGTAAAATATACAAAATTTAAGGGATATTTATCTAGACATTACAGGAAAGTATGAGGTCTCAAATCACCATGTCTGAGAATGGTGATAGAAAATCAAGATGCAGTGATCTCCCCATGTAACTTTTACCAGGGGCTCCCCCTACTTGAAAACAAAGGCCCCCAAGTTGGCACCCAGTTGGAATCTGCACTTCAACTTCTGATTTGAAAAATGAGTGAAGTAAGCACCTACACTGAGATATTGTGAGCGTAGCGAGTGCTGATTTTTTCAGACTTGAAATCTTGCACACAGTTGAAAATTTTTTTTGAGGAGAACACTGAGATGCCATTTATTCATGGTGGGCACTGTACTTTTATGTCTTCATCGAATTGGAAAATAAGAAGGATCAGATGGGAAGAAACCCCTCGCTTAATTTTGAATGAAACATGATGATTCTTGTATTCCTTATAATATTGCCAGATCTAGATTTCTACAAATTGTTCAAAACTGCCTGTCAAGCTTGCATTGGAAAGTGAAAAGTCAAAATGAAAGTCAATATTTGCTAAAAATAGTGAAAACTAACCTTAAAATGTATACAATTTGGGTAGAGACTATACTTTTAACTCCGAATTCAAGTTGTTGTCAATTCTGTCGTACTTCCTTGTCTATTATCCTGCGAAATCGTGAGTTATAACCAACGGAATTTCGAACTTCCGAAATGAGTGAACTCAGAACAGGAACTGGGACTGGCAATCAATTACGCATGCGTAGTAAACTTTCAAGATGAATAAAGATGTCACTAGTGTACATGGGATTAGCCCAATGTTCAAGCCTTGAGCTCAATATAAGCACAGTATGCTGTTTATAGGAGATCAAACGTCATGCTTATTAGAAACTTGCTGTTTTTCAATATATATATATACGTATAAAGTTTTGAATGAAGGAAACGTTTCTTCACAGCATTTTCCTGTTTAGATTTATGGCGTAATCCGGTAGAATTGACCTACTTTTGAAAAATGTCCAGAAATTTTACATTTCCAATTAATTCAACAGTTCTCAAGTAAGTATGATATATTTGATTAAATAAGTATTAATACTGATTCAATGCTTGCTACCCGTAGCCATGTCATGTGGTTTTTTGTATCCATTGACTGCCCCCAAAAATGTGGGGATATTTTTTTTCATTTTCAAACCCCACAGGTTTCCAAAAAACCTTGGTATCACGGGAAAATTCGAGGTATTGTTAGACTTTTCCAATATATATCACCACATCGATTATATGAATGCGTCTAATTTGAAGTTTCAATAAAGAAACCATATAAGATACAGAATTATTGAAGATCGTCCGACAATGCCCCGTGTCCAAGATTACCCCTATGTCTTAGAATTTAGCTCATTGTGACAACTTTTGATGGTTGAGGTTTAATAATGTCTCCAACTGTACAGCCCATTTCATTGCTTTGTTTCATCAGTAAAACCCCAAAAATGGGAAATCAAAGGATCATTGTGCAATAATATATGGAAAAATATATTCCTATTGTACATAAATGACATTTGTTGGATTGCTTTTACAGTAAAATTTTAAATGTTTGGAACTAGTTTGAATCTAAAAAAAGCAATTAAAGGATCATATTGAAACAGAATATGTAAAAATAGAAACATTTATACATGTCCTAACTTTTGTATATTTTAATTTGCTTTGTAGTTTAGCTATCATATCTGTGGCCTCTTATATTTTGATGCTTCTCTGCTGTGTTATTTAAAAAAAAAATTAACATGGCTGAAACAAAATTACAAAAGGCCACAGCTTTGCTGCACAAGTTATTTGAAACTATCTATCTATCTGAAATATACAAAAGTTAGGACTTGTACATATATTTCCATTTTTCATATACTGTTGCAATATAATCATTTGATTGCTTCTTTTTAAATTCAAAGTACAGCAAAACCTGTCTAATCCGAATGCCATTGGGATCGGATAAAAGCATTCAGATTAGGAGGTGTTCACATTTCAAGGTTTTTGCATTCGCAATATTGGAGTCTGAAGAAATGTGAACACACATACTCAGTAAATATTTATACTTCTTTTGACCACATAGCTTTATGACATTCCAGAAATTTGAAAATTTGATTCAAATGAATCTAGTCATGCTGGAAAGCCCCATTATGAATGAGACCATTAAAGATTATGTCCCAAAGTTTTGATATCATGACAAAATTTGAGCAATTTTGTATGAAACATCAGAAATTTTATGAAAAATGTTCAGATTAGACAGGTGAATTTTGGCTGTTTATGACTGTTCACTGAGCAAATTGGGAGGTGTTCACATTTCAAGGTTTTTTAACATGCGAGTCAATGGGAGGAAAAATGGGACCGAAAAAAGTGTTCAGTTTGTGAGGTCTTCGGATTAGCCAGGCGTTCAGATATACAGGTTCTACTGTAGTTCCAAACATTTAATGGCTAATGTGGCTTCTTATATTTTGATGCTTCTCAACCATAGTTTTTTCAAAAAGATTAACTTGGCTGAAATTCTTTTAATTACAAGAGGGCAAAACAAATGTCATTCATGTACAATATGAATATACTTTCCCATATATTATTGCACAATGGTCTCCTGATTTCTTATTTTTGGGGTTCTAGTGACGAAATAAAGCAGTGAAATGGGCTGTAGATGTCGGCAAAATTCTGATTTGTAGTAGAATCAGAAGCTCAATGAATATTCCACAAGATGAGACACCAATTTTAAAATGACGATTGTGCAGCAATTTCACAAAAATATGAGACAAATCATACCTCATTCGAAGTGTCTTGTTATTCTATACCTCTCTGATTACTAATAATGGTAGACAAGCCATCCTGCGATGACACACATAATTATGTCTCTTGCTTACCACCTTCGTTTGTTCAAAAAAAAAATTCACCCGCTAGTTTCCAAAAACATATCGACTGTTTCTTTATCTTATTGTGAAATAAGAAACTATGATATTGGTTAACATGCCAGAAATGAACATAATATCTAATTATAATATTTGCGATGACCAATACCAGAGATTGAGACAATGATCCAGTCAAAAATTGAGATGACAAATAAATTTAACATACATGTATGGTATAGGCACGAGAGAAGAATGAGACAACAGTATTTCTACCATTTCCAACCTTGGATTAACCCACTTAAGCGTATTCATCAAGAGAAAACTGTCTAATGTGACCTGCAAAGGTTTATATTTTACAATGAGTATTTATATTTTCAGTAACTTTCCAAAACTAGATGACAAAGTATGTGTTGTATCTATTATTGGAAAAAGTCGTTACAATCTGAACTCATCTAAGGCATCCATTCTCAACAGTAATATAAATATAGATGCATTCAGGGTAAGTATTATGATGTAATTTTATCGATTTAAAACTTGAATAATTTCATTTTCATACTTGAGATTGTCCTGTTATGATGGATCAAACATTATTTTATTAGCGATTTTCAAATAAATAATTGTAGATGAAGTACAGTGATTGAATGTATTATGTCAGTAACTAGAACTCATGTCTGTATGTCCCATTATTAAAATAAATTCTCCATTTGAAAATTTAACATTCTTAATAACAATGTGCACTGTACTTCAAGAAATGAACATTTTGTAACTGCTTCGGTTAAACAATATGCTACAGAGAAAAAATGAATTTTCTGAATTGCTAAAATTCGCTCTCTAATTTCACTTTTGTCATTTTTATGTTAACAGGGGTGGAATGAAGATGACACAGATACATCAGTGGATCATACAGTAAGTTCATTGCATCAACAACGTTTAGATTCATTACTTTTAGCACTTTTGAATTTTATTTGTACAGGTTTCAAAGTTTTCTGTTTATTGAATCTCAAGAGTTTCAGAATAGATTAGAAATCAGTCCCTGTAAGGAATCTTGGACACCAGAAAATATATTCAGTCCTTTTGTAAGCAATACATCAGAAAGTATATACTATTTCAGATTAATATGTTATTTCAGCTACATGTATATTTAGTCTCTAGATTAGAAAAGTGAACTCATTTGTAAACCTGCAATAAGAGATAATTTAACAATGTGGGAAGAGATTCAGCTGGTTGAGATTTGATGGGACATAAAATATTGTACATTAGCCTAAGAGTAATTTTAGACTGTTTTAGTGTCTTAAGGTCTTAAGTTACCATTACACTCTAAATCTTGGACATTCTATATGAATTCAGTATTCAAACATGACTATGCTCTAATTGAATTTCTCAACCAATCAGAATGCAGCATAGCCAATCCTGATCATTCTCTATTTCGCCATACATGCACAACCATGCTCTATTCAATCATCCGGTTATCTATATATTGTGACATCACACCTATGAATGGCGAAAACAACAAGTTTGGTTATTTTATGGACCCATTCTGAATTCTCTGAACAATGTTTTTATTTTTATGTTCAAATTGGAATAAATAATGGTAGGGCATTCAATATGGTGAAATTCTACACTGGTTGGACAGAAAGTCAGTACAAATGCACTCACCTTCAGTTTGTGCTTTTAGTCTATTTGTACAACATTCTGTCCAACTCATGCTGAATTTCACCATATTGAAATCATTATTTATTCCTTAATTTAATAATTTCAGTGCCACATTGAAGGGTTCTATGATGATGCCAACCATGTGATCTATCTCCACTTCCTGTCAGCCTATGATACATGTTCCCTGGCCAATGTCTGTGAGAGTGTTCACAAGAGACTCACAGAACATGGATATTGGCAGTTATGGCAGGACAGTGAGCATAAGCATGCCAGAGCTCTTCTCTACTTATTCTCAGTCTCACATATTATCATGGTAAGGTTACTACTAAATACTAATTGATTAACGTACATTAATGCATAAGGTTAGAAAAAATACATTTGTCTGTGATATAAGAGCAAGTTGGAATGGGTCTGTCTTTATATTCAATGAATTTTCATTTAAAAGGTGATTAGTTCAGCACGCCAAAAAAAACGCCACTTTTTTTTCAAGACACTACAACTTTTTTATTTTCCAACCTACATACCCCAAATTTTGCAGTTATATAGTGTCAAGGGTTCTTAGTAATAATATAATGTAACAGGTCCTTCAACTTTGATTATATTTGATCTAAAAGGGGAGTTCAATTGGTCTGCCACCCTAATTAATGATATATTTTAGTCTTAGTCACCTTGCTGATGTTGCAGTATCAATGAAATGTTAGCTAAGTTTTTTTCAACCTGTCTTAATTGCCAGCTTTAGTTGAGCAATTTTCTAGATGGGGTGCCTTCATACAATCTCCTGGAGACCTTCCCATACCCTATACTCACTGGGATTTGCATCAGGGCTATTAGCTTAACGATCATCAGGCCGTATCAGTTCAGGAACATTTTGCAAATTATGCTTATTTCTCATGGCACACCACATGTTTAAGTGAGACGCTGGGGACATATTTTATTCAAGTAAAAGATTTAATTTATGATCCATGTCTAGATAACAACCTCAAGTTTCATTTGGTATGCAAATTATGATTTAATATCAAAAAATAAAAAAGTTATAGCATTTTGAAAAAAAAGTGGCGTTTTTTTGGCCCACCCTGTATATAAATTAGAGCATTATTCATTTTTACTAAACAGATTGAATGTCTTCACAACACATCCTAATTATGTGGTAAAATGTAGAATAAATGTAGAATAGATGTATAATGCTTATGCAGCCCATTCTTTCGATATTTCGCACATCAGTGATACAAACAAGAAAGACTGGTAAATCAGGATGGTGTACATGTATACAGTAAAACCTGTCTGATGGAACACCTCTTTGCATAGAACACCTGTCCACATTAAACAATTTTCATAGAGAGCATTCCATATACTCAGATTTGACTCTATATATTTTGTCATTATTCTAGATGACACAACCTGGGAGTTCATTGGACATCACATGTGTGAGACTATTCAGGATCCTAGATGAGATTCGAAAGAAGCTGCAGATGGCTGTGGGGGACATACTCAAAGACCTTGGAGCACCTAGAGAATGGTGCCTTGCTGCCCGGCCATGTTCACCCAGGGTGCTGTTTGTCTTCGAGACATGCTTGCTCACAGAAACACCTGGTAATGATAACAGTGCTTTTAATAGGCCACGGACACAGGTTAGTGCCATGTTCTATGCAGTAGTGCTTCCACATAATAGAGCCTGAATCACACATCAACTTGTTGCCAATGATCCAACTACATGTGCATATTCCTAAGTATTCATTGCTTATCCTCATATGATGCTATAATTGAGAACCACATTGTTGTTATACATGATTCTCAGAAATGTATCACCTTATATCAGTTGTATAAATGCTTTTAATATGATATTATAGAGAATTTGAAAAACTGTTTCAGGAAAGGATTTGCATTTATTTTCTTTCAGAAAATCTCTCCTTTAAAGAAGCTACAGCATTCAATAGAAGATCAGATATATAGAATCCTCAGAAAAGCAAGAATCATCACCAATATAAGGTTAAATAACACATTTCTGATCTGTATCTTATCTAAACATGAAATACCATGATACTTCAAATAACAATGATTTTATTTAGTTGCCACTAAAATCTTCATAGTAAGCTGAATGTATGATATTCAAATGTCATTTTCCAAATAAATTGATATTATGAAAACAGTGCAGACTGAGATTACTTACATTATATGACATGAAAATAGATAGTTAACCATTTTTACTGAATCCAGGATTCAGTGTAGCGTATAATGCTTTCAGACAGTTGTTTAAGATGTAATTATTTAAAAGGAATTTCATTTTCAGAGTAGTGATATGCTTTTTATAGCTCACATGGTGAGCTTTGCAATTACTCACTTGTAATTTTTTATTTCAGCAACAATTCATTGTTTGCAGTGGCAGCCAACCAAGAGTTTGTCTATGTCTGTAGCAATAGTAGCAAGTCTGTGGCAGCTAAAGACTCACTTTCATTCTATCTTACACAGCTCCACAATACATGTGCAATACCTAAAGATTCAGGTAAACTTTGTGAATTTGCTTCTGCTGTTCTATCTTAGCAATGCACAAGCTCCTATGTTTTAGCCAGATGTTTTTACTTAAATATGATTTGCAAAACATAGAACAAGTGTACCATACTAAACTGATATTCCATGTGGCTCTTGCTTGATTATGCAAGTGTTTTATAGTGATAATTGTTATATGCTGTACAGTAAAACCTGTCAGATGAAAAACCTCTGTATAAGGAACACCTCTCTATAAGAAAAAGTATCTAAAAGTTCCAAGTTCCATTGACTTATCTGTTTATGGACTATTTTTGTAAGAAACACCTCTCTATAAGGAATGATACTGGTCAGTAAGTCGAGTTTTCTATAAAGTCAGTTTTACCGGATGCGGATTCTTTCTCTCAACAATAAATTAAAATTTGATATGTGTATTGTACCACTTTTTTGTTATTTTAAAACCAAACATTTCTTTATAGTAGATTAGAATTGTATGAATCTCCCATCCACTTCCAATTTTCAGACAATCCTCAAAGAAGTCATGGTTACCAGATGAATCGCCATGGCAACCAGAAAGTCTCTGGTCTAGTCACACTTCCCACAGAGATGTCCACCCTCCCCAAAGGGAATGATTTCTCATCTTTTCTCAAGCAGCATGTGGATCTTGCCCTTGGCAAAGGATTTGATGATAATGTTGGAAGGAACCCTGTTCCAGCACTGTTTGAGGTATGATATTACTATGTATGATTTACTTCAGCTGACCGTGCTTCAAGTTTGCCTCCTTCCCTCTTCACACGAGCTACAACTTGTTACAAAGTGGTAGTGGTATTTCTAGTATGCAGGACTAGCGTATATTGCTGCTGTCAATCTTAAAATAATGATCACAACGAAATACTTATTAAGGTGATTTATACCTATATTTATTAGACTCAATTAAATCAATGATCACTTGGAATAGAAGTACATGTAATTCAGCATAGATTATAGACTGTATTCTTAAAATTCATTTTCTCTTGGAATTATCTCATCTGGGCTATCAGTTTATATGGTACAGGGGTGATCAGATCAAAAAGACGCCTTGGTAGTGACTCTAATGGTGGAGGTGAACCATCAATTGCCTCAGGAATGAATTTGAACTCCTGTAGTAGGGGTGTTACATACAGGAACATCCACATTTTGGCCACAGCCTCACCTGGACAACGTCTTAACCCTGGAATAAGCAAAAAACTGATTAACTAGGACCTTCTGCAACCTTAATCTGATGATTTTTCAACCTTGGCCTGTTTTAGCCTTATCTGGGCCTGATTTAAACTCAATCTGGGGTCTGTTGCATGGATCACATTTCCTAAATTTCTGCTGTCTCAATTCAATCATGTCCTATCTGTTCATTAAAAGATGCAATTTTCGTTGGAGTCTTTTCAATTTGTCCTATTTGAGTCAATTCCTATTTTCTCTTCAATTTGCGCCACTGTCTGAACACAATTTGTACTCACCAATAGAGAAAGGTACAAATGCTGCTGGTGTGCCAAATCTTATCCCATCTTGGAAACGTTCTGGGCGATACTCTTCAGGCTTTTCCCATAAATGTGGGTCATTGCTTACTTTCCATAGGTTGGGCACTACAGTGATATTAGAGGGGATGTTGTAACCATGGAGACAAGATGGTGCATTGGTTCGTCGCTTGATTGCTGTGTGTGGACTGATACGTAACACTTCCAGTATGCTACCTTCTGTATAAGGCAAGATATGGTTCAGTTGATCTTGGCCATTTGCTGCTCTTCCTTTTAGGTACTGCAAGCACAACATATCACACAAAAGGGACAAAGAGGCATTGTTCATCTTAAATGGTAGTGAACAACACAATTTATAAAATATAAATAAATGATCAGCGAAGATTGGCTTCCATATTCCCATAAGAAAAAAGTGAAAGTGATGAGTTGCAGAATTGCAGAAAGTACATATTAAGAAAATGAAATGGATGAATCCAAAGTAGGCATGGTTTGATTAATGTTTGAATATTAAAGCCATTCAAATAATTTTAGCTCAAAAATATCTTGAGGGACTGATGCCCCAAAACTTCTTAGCCATTCAAAAATTAACTCAGAGGGATTTATACGATTTAAAGTATGGTCTACAAGAGATAGTTATGCTTAAGACAGTTTTAATTTTGATAGTATTTACACGTAACTACCATTTCCATCGGATAAATCTGGAATTGGAACAAAGGGAAAATGGTTTAAATGTAGTGATGTTCCAAAACAGATTGACAGATTGTTTTGAGTGCAGATGTACCTACCTGATCTATCTCAGATTGTACTTTACTCTGAACTGCTGGATAGTTGAGCATATATAAGAAATACCAGTTGAGATTTCTAATTATCCCAGGAACTGTTAATTGCAGGAGGTCCCATATTACAGCTGTGAGCTCATCAAATGTGCATGTGTCCTCTCCCTTTGCCTCTAAGCGTTGTTGTATATTCTTTCTCAGTTTGTCTGCTAGTGCATTTCCAATCCCTAAATTCAATTATAAGAATTTTTGAGATATTTTTTTACATACATGTTGTTGTAGCCACATCAAGTTTTCTCTGTTTGGGAGTTAAAGTAGAACAATTAAATCTGTAATTAAATATCACTTAGCTGCTTATACAACAATCACCTAAACTCGGCCATTTTGGAAATCTATCATGGTGAGATCATTCTCAGCTCACTCAAAAAAGCAAGGATTCGTACAGTATAGGTTAAAAAATTAGGAGGAAACTTTCATGACACAAATTTTTTTTAGAAACACTGTTTTTAAACCATTTGACTTACCATTTGGCTTTTTCATGAAATGTGCCTGGATCATAGTTTTCAGCACTGACAGAATCTTCTTTGTGTTCTCAATATAAAGTTTCACAGGTTCTGTTTCTCTTTTCTTTGGCTCCCAGTCTGCATCTATTACTTTTGGGCGAAGTGTTAGAGATGTCACAAAGAGAGGGATTATTTTCTTGTCAATATCATCTGTGAAGTCAGTAAAACTTGTGCCAAATATCATAAAAAAGAAGTTTCTCAGTAAAGGTCTGGCTAAGACTTGACCTGAAAAAATCATGAAATCACTGAATAAATTTCTTTTTGTGATTGCCCATTTTTGTGTACATTCCCTCTTGGTGTACAATATTGTTTGCAATTTTGAATCAATTTGCGATAATTTGACATGATATAAAAATCTAATATACAGTGCACATCAACAATAGATAAAAGCTTATTTATCATTTTTGAGAATGCTATGGAATATGGAACTAAATTGGAAAAAAAGCAGGAATATTATAGGAATATCCTATGGTTTTGAAAAAATATCATTTATATCCATGAGTGGATATTGATATCTTCATGAGTGAGCGCAGCGAATGAGTGAAGATATTTGTATCCATGAGTGGATATGATTGATATTTTTGAAAAACCATAGGATTGTCCGTTTATCCCATGGGAAATCATCATCAGCGAAAAAGTTGAAAAGTATAATTTGAGAAAAATTTGAAAAAAGTGAAAAAAACATTTTTTTTTGAAATTTTTAAAAAATATTTTTGACAATAATAATAATAATGATAATTAAAAAAAAAGTAAAAAGAATTTTTTTTGAAAAAAATCGAAACCATTGAATATCACTTTTCAAACCATCGAATATCACTTTTTAAGACGTGATATTCGATATTTTAAAGTGATATTCGATGGTTTGTGAATTTTTTGATAAAATATGATATCTTGATCCACATATCAAATATATCTTCATGTGATATTCGATCTATATCCTTGCAACCATGGGATAAATGGGAATATGTATATATGACTCACTGATATCCAATTTAGCACCAGTCTTTAATATTCCCCTTAAATAGTCAAGTTCAGCCTTTATTGATTGCTCAAATCCAATTGGCTGGCGTATAACATTGTTGGAGTAGTACCTCATGATAATCTGTCGATAACTCTTCCATGTTTGTCCAAATGGTAGATTGAAAAAACCTTCATCAAAGAAATAAAAAATCTAAAAGATGGAAACATTTTAACAGTTCGAAGCAGTTTTGAACTTTTAAAACATTGGGGTATTTTAGCATCACAGTTGAAGACTTAGTCACTTTAAGCTCACACCGGAATAGCCTGACACAGTAAAGTCAGATGCCGTTGTCACAAATGGCGGACGCTAATTCTGTGCATGTATCAAGCTCTTGTGATGATGTATTATATGAAATCCCAATTTAATAACAAATGCAGTCGTGAATCACCACAATATAGCATCTTCGATATTGTCAATGACAATGGAATCTGAATTTGAAATAACTTACAAAGACAACGGCATATGGTAAGATGTGACAACAGACTATGGTGGATGTATTGCATTGGAGCATAGGAAAATGACAACAATATTACCATTGTGACAATGTGTGAAGCTAGGATGAAGAATATATTTCTGGTTTTGATAGTTCATTTTATCAACAATGAATAACTTCAAAACTAACCTCTTTGCCCTTGAACTTCATTTGTTAAATAGTCAAAGGGTCTATCTCCATATGTTCGTATTTGATGTACAAATGCCTCATATTGAACATCATATTGATTCAAAATCAGCAGTGGTCGTATTCCTAAATTTCCCTGAAGGAGACTGGCACTTGTGTTGGCCAGGTCTCTATATGGTTCATCTCTAGTTTGTAGTAAGGCTGGGTTCAAGACTGGTGCTGCTTTGTTGTGTGGGCACCCTGGGTGATCAAGCTTACCATCTCTGTTAAGGTCAAGAGAATCGGGTACTCCATCATTGTTCTCATCATCACTACCAGCATTATAAGCATCTGTAGAATGAACATTTTCAATTGCTAGAATTTTAATTTAATAAAATTTTAATTTTAATTTCTTTTTAATTAAAATTTTTAATTTTAAATCAAAAAAATCAAATATATTCACCTTGTCAACTAAAAATTCTTATTGTATTAAATACACCTCTACATCTCAATCTTAAACTTTAGATACTGTACTGCATATTGAATTCAGAAAAAAGATTGCCAAAGAAAATCTCTTAGATTTAGGCCTGTTGAACTGTTACCTATTTAAGCACAGAAAATGTAATATTAAACTCCATGAAACTCCATATTAATATTTCAGAAAACTCAGAAAAGCCCATATGAAGTTACAAAGATATATGTACTTACATTTATATATACTGGTGACCCCCGGTAAAGCAATGAACAAGACAATGGCCAGTTTAAGGACCACTGACATTATTAACTGCTAGAAAACACAATGCATCAATCAGTCAATTATCAATGTACCTGTATGTCCTGTAAGAAGAAGTCGCATGATATAAAACAAATTGAATAACGATCTCCTTTCAGGGAATATAATCAAAATGTTTAATTATGCTATGATATATTTTGCAACAAGATGACATAATTAATTAATCATACAAATGGGTTTAGGCTCTTATTTAGTGCCTTTGTTTATTATGCAATTTTAACAATTGATGGTTTTTTTTAAATTTATTTACTGAACATGTTTGTTTGGCAATACATGGCACTTAATACAGTATAAATTAATTGTATAATTTTAACAATAAAATAATCTTATTGTTTAACATCATGAAAAGTATTGTAAAATACCTTCCTTTTAATTCTGGACGTGGCAAGCCAGTATAAGAGGGGGTAGTTTATTTTGAAACCAAAATGGTGTATTTGGGTCTTACTAAAACATGAAGGGTAGTTGTAGGGATCTCAAGCTAACAAATCCATAAAATGTGAACATGAGAAGTTTGAAGACTTTGAAGACTGAATGAGGGTGTTGAAGACTTTGAAGACTGAATGAGGGCGTTGAAGACTTTGAAGACTAAATTGAGGAGTTGAAGACTTTGAAGACTAAATGAGGGCGTTAAAGACTTTGAAGACTAAATGTAGCAAGTGAAGACAATTTGAGAAATTATTGGTAAAATCTAAACTAATTGCTTAAAAAGCAAAATAAATGGTCGGACTGAATTGATGAACACTCGTAACACCTTAACACACATGATAAGACCAAAATTGAAGTCTTGAAGGCAATTTATCAATTGTCCTAACAGACAATCTATCCATGCCGTGACCTTGGCTATGAAAGTTAGAAAAACACCCTACCACGTCAGGAAAACCCCAGCAGCACTGCTGGGAGCTGAGTAAAAACCTGATATTTATATGAAAAGTTGAATACCAAACTCACAAAAGTAATGTTTAAATAACCAATGAACAGCCAGCAATGCTGAGCAGTTGCCACATAAATAGTTGTCAATAGACACACTTAAATGCATATACACATAAATACATGTTGCTGTTCGATTTAAGCAAAGAGAGTAAGGTTATAGTACATGGAGCTTGATGAACATAAACAGCAGTTATTGATATACAATGGGGGTTTGCTACAGTATGAATGACAGCCTAGAAGATGGCTATACTATTGAAGCATTCAGGAAACTGGGCAAATAGTTCTGGTGTATTCTGTAATTTTTGTTATCCCACCTAACCAATTTAGAGAGGTATATAGAGAAGCTGTCAGTCCATCTGCCTGTCTCTTCGTTCATTTTTTAATCTGTCCAGACAATAACTCAAGTAAATGATGGATTGGATATCTACTGAAGAAGGAATTTTCAAACTGAAAATTAGAGATACAAGATGCTTTGGGTCTTTGAAAAGATTTTTGAGATAGACATGGCTGAATAGACCTCTTACTCAGATTGTGGTCTTCATTTAACTGACACCAGGGTATATTGTTTCAGACTGAATCCTGTGAGCTGACACTGCAGATCTGTGACGCCCTGTATGAGTTCTTCATGATAGACCCTATGGGCACAACTGGCAAACTACATTTCAACACATTAAAAACCAAATTGGAAGTTGATCTCAGGTTCTCAGAAGGGTAAGCAGAAGCAAGTAATGTACACCATGCAAACAGTCAAAACTGCCATAGGGCCATAGTGTAGCTACAAGCCCCTATGACCCCCCTCCCCCCCCCTCCTACTACTCGACTACACATGTGTGAAAATATGTTTCGGGAGGTGTGTATTGAGAGCACAAAGGGTTGAAACTAAGAGTACACAACAACATCTGTAAATTGAATACCTTGCAGTGGGAGCTTTTATTCAGAGTCAAAGTGTTCCATTTGATGTAATGTTAATTGAACCTCTGTAACATGAACAAATGTGAAGCTTTTTTAGAAAAAAATCAAATGTGTTCCACTGCACTTACAATTCCCAGTTTCAATGTCAGCTGAAAAATTGAATTTCAATTGAAGTTCAATATTTTGAAATGGAATAACAGGATTATTAGATGGTAACTATGAAGTGAATGGGACAGAGACTTTATGCAGGGCTGTTCAACTTTGAAATTCTCTTCCAGACGATGTGGTAAGATCTTACCTTTGGCAGAAAATGCTTATGCAGAGGGACTCCCACAGCATTATACGCGAAGCTACCACCAACAGAAGGTAACACATCAGTATTCATTGTATGGTGAACCAATATGGGTAGAGTCCCTTACTTATACTTCTTATTAGTCAATTCATCGAATGGAGTATTTTAGAATTGGTTTTTTGATTTTTAAATTAGGACAATTACGATTATTTTTGTGTTCAAATCTTCCTGGGCAATGCAGTAAGATTTTGACAAATTTTTGAGCTAGCCTATCTGGCATTTAAAAGTTGATTGATGGACTCCCAAAATATATGTTCTTTATAGAAGGAGCTTGTATGACTCGACCCTGAGACATCTAGGCTATAACATCTTCAACTATCTTGATGTGCCAGCAACCTAAATATGCCAAACCTGCAACCCCTTTAACATATTCAGTTTCCTTTTCTATCCCTCATCAGCTGGCAGCTGCTAGAAGGGTTCTGAGCCAACATGCTAGAGGACCAGCCAGTGAGAAATATCTGAAGCAGCTAGAAGAGGAGTGTACAAGGATCTGGAAGAGTGGGAGAGAGCTTTGTGAACAGACGAGTCTCACTGGGAACCATTGTACAAATGCAGTAAGTTTCATGTTAAATTTCCACCTTCGTAAATAATATGAAAATATTTCAATAGGCTAATACTTTTAGTAGTGTTTAGTACTATTAGAAACCCTCTTCATCTCATGCCCATGAAAGGCACATACTGAGGTATCTAGTTGTCTGAATGACACACATCATATATCAATGAAGTCATTTTCTAAAACCTCTGGAATTCGCAATTCGCATTTTCACCCATCTAAGTACCAATCTTGTAAGGAAAGCCATGATAAGGAAATCTGCCAGTACAAGTGACCCAAAGGGGTAATAACTGTACTGTTATATCTATTCAGTGATATTATCTTGTAGCTGCATAGACTCAGTGAAGATGAAGATCAGAGTAACAACCAAGGTGTTAAGTTACCTGTATTACCACATGCCAGCCAGGTGAAAACAAAGTCTACCTGTAACTGTGGGAGGAAACAATCTGAAAGAGAAGATCCATTTGATCATAAGGTATGCTGAATAAATTAGTTCATGTAGTCCTACCCTACCTCAATTCAAGTAATGATAATTAAGTAAAAATGTGCAGTCAAGTTTACAGACAAAACAACTGTAACATCTTAATAACTGTAATACAGTACATTTATTAAACCAGCTTTGTTCATCTAACCTCTCTCAAACTCCAATTATTTCATGATAAAATACAATATCGATGCAGCTGGTATACCTTTTTGAAATCTCACTCTCCAAATGATATAACCAATAATGTCTTGAAATTTTATTTTCAGGCTGCTAATTTTGACTTCTATGACCAATTAAGAAAAACATGTTGTGATAAGTTGGAAAATATAGAACTACCAGTATTTAAACCAAGCATTGCTGAAGTAAAAAGTTCTCCTGCTAAACCAATTGTTGAAGAGGCAGAAACACCTATAGCTAATAAAGATTTATCACGACTAGACATAGTCTCCGGAATGTCAAATTTGAGTCTCACTATGAGTTTAGGTGAGTTGAAATATTTTATTCAGGTCCTTAATGGTACTTTAGGATATTACACAGTTTCATATTCATGTTATTCTCTTGTTTCCAAAAATGTTAATTTGGAGGTAATTCTAGTTCTCTTCAAGGATGAAGGATATGTGTGTGACTTCCTAAAATGACACCATTTATCCCTGGTATAATTTTGGGGAATTCTGATGTTTAAGCTAGAATCAGAGATGTAGAGGCTGGCAATATTGCAAGCAATGTTTTAAATAAGATGTATGATATGTCACATGGTTATTTGAGACCACAAGACTGAATATAATAAGAATGTTGCTCTTGATCTGATACTGCCTTAAACTATTCATAGTTTCAACATTCAATAAGCCTATAATCTCACAATAATATGCAATTATAGTTGAATCAGAGGCCAGTGATTCCATGTACAGCCATGGTCCCCAGGGAAGTTTCACCACAGAACCACAACTTGAGCAACCACAACATGCAAATACAGAGCAAGGCTCTCAGAGAGATGACAGTCCAGAAGCTCTAGGGACTGAAGTTGAGGTATCCCAGCAAGCTACAGGTAAAACACATTGATGTAGACACATTGATACAGAAGAGACACATTGGCACAAATGAGACACATTGATACAGAAGAGACACATTGGCACAAATGAGACACATTGATACAGACGAGATACATTGATTGAAAGGAGAGATAGCGATACTAGATCAGTTTAAATGATACCTACATTTAAAGAAATGATTGATTCATTATATATATCTAGTATTCATTGGTTAACCAAGATTAATTCTAGCTACATCCTATGTTGTAAGTATTATTTGTATAAAAAGGTTGAAATGATGACTTTATACATGAAACATTATCAATGATTCATTATTTTCAAATGATTGCAGAAAGACAGCATTCCACTACAGAGTATTTAGCAGGGATGCTCCATAGTGTTAGTCCACCTGGTCTCCTGCCACAATTTCCTTCATGGTCCCTTGTAGGGTTGTCTAAATACAATGCTTACTCATATTCACAAGGTAGGGGATATGGCTTAATGGTGCTGTAGGTTGAGACGAATGAGTAGGCCTAATCAAGACAGATTGCATGAACCTGCATTTTGAATTGCATCCTGACTTCTCCGACTCTAGCTTAGATAAATAGTCAACAGTTTTGTTTCTGAAAAGAAACTGACATGACTGATGTAGCCTTTTGTAAGAGTTTGAATATGAAATAAATGCCACCTATTCATGAAGTAATAATTTTATGTTCCACACTGTCGCAACGCATTTGTTAAGTAAGTTGTTCAGTGAAAGGAAAAGACTGCATGCAAACGTGTTTTATTCTACTATCAGGTCTTGACCAGCCTGGGTTCTTACATGGTGGAAACTTTCTTCTTCCCTGGGACCTCAATGGGAAAGGGGACAAGGAGAAATGGCCTACTGTAGCGGAAATGTCAACCAAAAAGGGAAAGTCAAAGCGAGGACAAAAAGGTTAGTGATGACATTAATTATATACAAAACCTAAACCGAGTGTCATTTTTATGTTCATCACCAGAAGTGGTGACATACAAGTATTGTTATAGTTTTGTGGACGGTGTTTTCTGGACAGTGTTTTGTGGTTGTTGTTTGGCATCTGTAACAGTGTTTTGTGTCTGTAACACTGGTCGGCATCTGTAACAAATGACAGGTTGTGACATTTTGCATGTTTAAAATGTCTTGTTTTTTTATTTTTTATTATTTAACTGTGAAAAAATCATGACTATTTGAAGTGCTTTTGAGAAATGTTTGAGAATCTGCAAAAAAATTTGAGCAATACTAATTTCCACCCAATGTTAATATTCTATAAATATTCCAGATCAAGCTTCTGAAGTGAATGCAAAGATCTATCTTGGAATTGAATATGAATGCCCCAGGGGCCACAGGTTCTTTATCACATCCCCTGACAAGATTCTCAAGCTCCCCAGTGGTGCAACAGGGCCCCCTAAAGAGAACGCTGCAAAGTTATTGAACACAGATTTCCCACTATACACAGCCTGCCACTGCAGGTATGTTAAAGGGGTACGGGTAAAAGGGATGAATAAAGTGCAACTTTTTCTTGAATTTCTTCACTCTTACTTTAAGATATGTTGATAACCCTTTGAAATAATACCCAAGTTGACTTGAAACTCATAAAGTGAACACCTGGAGAAATCTTGAGATTTTAGTCAATATCTGTAACCATGGAAATGTATAACAAAATGTGTTATAAAGTAGTCAGCCAGATTTGAAACAAATATACTCTACTACTACTACTTCTCATACTCCAGTATTGTGTGCAACCAGGTTGTGACAATTTCTCATGTTATTGAGTTTAAAATATTTGTTTCAGGAGTGCAAAAGGCTACATAGCTCAGTTGATGCGTGTATTTGTTGCTGTCCCTGAGGGTCCAGTAGAGGTGTCTCTCACTCCAAGGGTACAACCAGGACCTCCCCCATGCCCTGTCTTCCACCCTGGAACCACAAGTGCTGTACCATTACCCAAGGGCAAAATATGGGTCCTTAGACTTCCGTATCCTTTAATAAATTTACACCACCAACAGTAAAAGCTTTATTCAAATCACAATAAATTTTTTTAAATAATCACTGAAGTTTGCATATCCAGTATTATCCACATATGTGTTCTGTGTCATGGATGAAGTACTGCATATACATGTAATTGTTAAGTGTGATTTGCATGTTATGTGACCTGTATTTGACCAGTCGCAGAATAAGGAACATGATGAAACATGATGATCATATGATTATTGTTATACTCCTTTACTCTAGCATAGATTTATATACATTGGTGAAGATGGTCCAATCTTACCTCCAACTGACTCACAACATCTCAATTCTTGTAGACTACTAAAGGGACTGTTCACAATAACAGAGGATTCATCATGAGGAGGAATCTAAATTATTGAAAATTAATGTTGATGTAGATGGAATGAGATATATTAAGAACCTAGCTTGAGGACGCCAAAAAATAAGGATTATATTAGTATTTGAGGACTCTGGCACATAAATGAAGATTCTGAGACTATTGTTAGACTGTTTTGAAATGAATAAAATCTGAAAAGTTATTGAACCATTAGTTTTTAAGTTGTTACAAAAGCCAAGTCTGGGGTTTAATCCCAACTAAAAAAACTTTATCTTTTCATTTATATTACAGTTCTATTATATATCTATTTAAATCAATAACATTATTCAGAAAATCTCTTCATTCAGAATATGTGTTGATTAAAGGAATATTCCTTGCCAGGCCCTTTCTCTCTTGATATGGTAGCTATAATCATATATATAGTTTCCATATTTAGCAAAACATGGGAAAATGTTTTAATGTGGTCAATATTGATCATTTAAAAATCTAGTGCTTATTTCCAGTGAGCTGCCATCTTTTAAGATTTCTTGCAGGAAGTGATGTCATCAACTCTCAACTTCTATAACCTTGCCCATAACAATATAGGAAAGTAGCACAAAATCACTTCTAGATAAGTGATCATTACTTTCCGTGCAAAAATATTTTCAGGGCTTGTCAACTTAGAATAAAAGAAGAGATTTTCAGAAGGATTAAATAAGATACAAAGTTGAAAAAGAATATTTAGCTGGTTTTGTAATTCTTAATAGCTCCTCACCTAATGCTATATGCAAAGTTGAGAGTCGATGACATCACTTCCTGTGTGAAATTTTAAAAGATGGCAGCTTACTGGAATTGAGCATCACATTTCTAAGTGATCAAATTTGACCATATCAAAACATTTTTGCGTGTTTTGCTAAACATGGCAAGCATATATATGATTATAGCTACCATATGAGGAGAGAGATGGTTTGGCAAGGAATATTCCTTTAAGGATTATCACCTGTACATTTTTGGAATGGTTTGGGATCACCTTGAATGTTGGGAACTCAATTTTTCAACTACTGTAAATTGCTTTAATTTGATTTCCGTTTTTTTAATGTGGCTGATGGATGGAAACCACCAAATTAAGTCTCCGCTAATTTTTTAAAAAATGAAATCCCTAGACATGTTTTCGTATAGTGCTTTTTCCATGTCTTACTTAGCACGATTTAACTTTGGTGAAAATCTTGACTGAATCATGGATGAAATGTCAATTTTAAACTATTTCCGAAGACCTACAGGTTCAGATAAAACAATCTGATACCAGGAGAGATAATTAGAGGTTATGTCACTATCGTTGCATATATGCCCGAGGGTTTCAGTGATATATGGCCCGACTTTGGGAGGGACATTGATCACTGAGAACCGAGGGCATATGTGCAACTATAGTAACATAAACGATTTATAACATACCTATGATGATCTAGTCTGGTCAGAGAGTACCGTTTTCTTTTCTAATTGACTAGCAGTGGTTCGGTAATGATGATTTATTCCCATGTTTGTATCTTACGATATGTATGAGTCACATTGACCTAGGCCTAATGTATGACGTAGTCCCAGCGCTTGACCAATCAGAAAGTTAGCGGGCGCAGGCTTTTCAAAAGTTATATTGGCCCGCTATCTTGTGAACAGTTTACACTATACATCCTCATAGGTATGTTATAAATTATGTTATTGGTGACGAGCTGTGAACTAAGTTATACGATTGATGATGGTCAATCCACCAAATTAAACAGAAGCCAAAATTTGAAAATTTGCCCAATCCGCCAAATAAAATAGCGCCAAATTGAAGCAATTTACAGTACATGTCCAATCCATTCTTTGAATATAAAAAATATTTTTAACTTATTTGATAATCTTTCAGAAGAGTTTTAAAGGGGCAAAAAGTGCTTAGGGTGCTTATAAATTCAGGAATTAGATCTTTAATCCAGAGATATCACAGAAATTATTTGTGGTTGTAAAGAAATATCAATTTAAAAGTTTAATCTGAGATGATGCATACCTCAAGTATGTTATTTCCAGATTTCAGGCTTCATGAATTTTGAATCTTGATCAGTATTTAGTTTAAGACTGAAGATACACCAAACTCAAAGGTCCATGTGCAGTATGGCAAGTGATTTTAGATAGTCATATCTTTAACCATGAGTAATTTCTGGGCATGTGTTTTTTATTAAAACAATATGTTTTCTTTCAAGTGAAGTACCCATAATGATGTCATGTCATCATTTTTGTCAAATTGTTGAACCTATTTACTCAAAAGAATCTTCTTTTTCTGCATGAAAAGATTATTCAACAAGGGGTCTTAAACTTCTTCATAAATAGAATGGTATTGAAAGTCTAGTTTTGAAGATATCCATTTTCGATGACCAAAACTATGCTGAAAACTATGGATAGCACGAATTTTCCCTATGGGGGAATAACATGGGATATGTGGTTTTTAACTTTAACACATTTCAATACACATCCCCTTTTCAGGAATTGTTAATATAGTGTAGAAGGAAAGAAAGAAATATCAATTTAAAAGTTTAATCTGAGATGATGCATACCTCAAGTATGTTATTTCCAGATTTCAGGCTTCATGAATTTTGAATCTTGATCAGTATTTAGTTTAAGACTGAAGATACACCAAACTCAAAGGTCCATGTGCAGTATGGCAAGTGATTTTAGATAGTCATATCTTTAACCATGAGTAATTTCTGGGCATGTGTTTTTTATTAAAACAATATGTTTTCTTTCAAGTGAAGTACCCATAATGATGTCATGTCATCATTTTTGTCAAATTGTTGAACCTCTTTACTCAAAAGAATCTTCTTTTTCTGCATGAAAAGATTATTCAACAAGGGGTCTAAAACTTCTTCATAAATAGAATGGTATTGAAAGTCTAGTTTTGAAGATATCCATTTTCGATGACCAAAACTATGCTGAAAACTATGGATAGCACGAATTTTCCCTATGGGGGAATAACATGGGATATGTGGTTTTTAACTTTAACATATTTCAATTCACATCCCCTTTTCAGGAATTGTTAATATAGTGTAGAAGGAAATTTCGATATGTTCAAATTGAGAAAAACGAGATCCTCTTTTTAGAAAATAAGCCTAACATTTTTAAAAAAAGTGCCAAGGTGGGGTCCTAATCCATAATTTTTCAGAGAGTTGGATTGATATTTTACTATCATGGGGACTTCACTTGAAAGAAAACATATTGTTTTAATAAAAACCACTGTATTGATGGCCAGAAAGTACTCATGGTGAAAGATATGACCGTCTAAAAACACTTGCCATGCTACACATGGACCTTTCTTTCACAGGAATTTCATCTGATGTTTCTTGATTTCCAAAATATTTAACAAAGCAAGGTAAAAATACATATTTCATAATTTGTTGGAGAAATGAACAATTTGCAAGAATAATAGAAAAGGGACCAATTTCACGAGATTTGAATTTCCGTTTACCCGCCAGTGTCTGTCCAATAGACTGTTTTGGAAGTATGGCCAACTGCTAACAATGAACAAGAGTCACAAAAAATGTAGACTATAACAATATGTCACCACATTCACAAATTCAGTAGCCTACCATTCAAAATATCCAAAAATAAACATGCACATAAAATGTAAAATTCACTTTGTAAATACATTTACATTAATATTTTATTTCCATTAACATGTACACCTATTTAAATTATCTGGAGAATTGAGTAAAATATTATATATTTTGATGATCATTTTGTACACAATACACAATGTGCTATATTGAAATGTAAGGGTTTCATTTACAATACATGTAAAATCATTCTCACAGAGGCTAGTAGTCGAGTATACATGTACTATCTTTGGCTGTATGGCATTAAATGACTTCATTCACAATACAAAACATATTTCATAGGCCAAATACGATTTTGAAGATATTGAATTATGATAGTGTCCTTCCTATGGTGACATACACCTCCAACATCAATTTTACACAATGTGCATTGATATTTTACCAAAGTAGCTCTGCGGTTGTTAATTAATAATAAAACTTGAGAAACCATGGCCATTCCTCAGGTAGACATGTGTCACAGAAAAGAAACTTACAGAACCTGTAAGTTTTGAAATGAAATGGAACAAGCTTTTAAACCTCAAATGGCCTTAGGTTTTCATCAATACATTTATCTTTAAAATGGTAAAACTGCCAAATTCAGCTAAATTGTATAAATATACAATTGGATTTAATTAGTTGTAAATGCAGAAACAAAGTCAAAGGAAACTGCCTGATTGTCTTCCAATCTCTTGAATAATAACATTCTTCAGATTATATCTTACGTCTAATTGATTTCCATGTTTTTTTTAATCTGCAAAAATATTTTAACTGACTGACAGTAAGTCATCTGTTCATATTTAGACAGATTTTTTTTTATCTTAAATTGTCACTGCCTTTAGTTCTGGCTTAGTATTCTGTAATAATCTAATGAACATTGCAATATTTATGATTAGCAATTAGGTGAACTTTGAGCTGCATTTTGGAGAACTCCAGCAAAATCAACTTTGAAGACTTCCTTTATTGAGGTAGGTTGTCCGCATAGAGAGTAGCCTAGTGGTGAATTATATTCCATGCTGAAGAGACCCATGAAACAACAGAGTCAATATAACATATTAGTCTGCATAAAGTTCAGTATTCAAGGTTTTTGTACTTTTTGCTTTTGGGCTAGTCTAAAGCCAGTCTCAGTGTCATTTAGTTGTTGTTGAAAGTAACGAAAGGGAATAACTGTCTCTCATACCTATGCCCATGGGCTCTATCAGGTGGTAGATCCCATGCTATGCCATATAACAATGGATGGCAAACGTCTTATCCTGATATCCATCATCTCTGTTTTAGAAACAAACTTATGCAATGAAGTCAAGCGGTCTGTTAAAGCCTCCCCTTCTGTTCATGTATTGTCTATATTTTCTTTTGTGAAGAATGTTTGCGACATATGTATCATTACCATCAACTTTTTTGTTTTTAGTTGTATCGAAATTTCCAAAACCCATCACCTTCATCATTTGGATCTCCTCCTCAGATTTCCCTTCGAAATCTGCTTCTGAGAGCTGAGGAGCGTTACTAGCTTCTTTGGACGACGATGCTTCGCTTATCTCTTCCTCATACCTATCGTACTCTCTTCCGCGCTCATAATCTCTGCCCCTGCTATCCCGACGTTCTCTGTCGGGTCGATCTCGCCTCCTTGGTGAATTGGATCGAGACCTACGTCTTCTTGGAGACCTCGAACGTCGTCTTCTTCTATCCCTGTCTCGTGAACGGGACCGTGAACGTCTTCTTTTATCTGCTCTTCTGGGAGAGCGACTTCGACTCCTTCCCATTTTTCGAATTTACTCTTTGTCATCTATTATCGCCCACTGACGCAGTATTTATGCGACCGTCCACTTTTTTAAACGAAAGTTTTTCCAGGGTGACCAGTGGCTACAGAACGTCTCCAAATACAAAATATCCGAATGTAACTCGTAATTTATAATAAGAAAGACCAAACAAACTGTATGAAATACATCAATGAAAAGTATCAATCATCTAAAAGCACAACCAATCGTTAGAAATCAAATTAATAAATTGCACGTTTGTTTTTACAGTGTAGTTTCCGGTTTCTAAATTTTTGACATTTTTAAAATGTTAAGTTTTTAAGTTGCTGTCTAGGCCTACTACCACTCTAATGAGAGGTGATATCAAGTGAAGGTATGTTTATAAAAACTTTAGCTGATCCAAGCCTCTTTGGTTTGATTTTAGGCTTTTGCATCTTCAAAAAGTTTCAGTTGAGTGTGACTGTGAGTGTCTTTTATGATTTTTATGACACATGTCCAAAAATAGGCTACAGTCATTAACATTTCCTCGACGACTTTGGCCCTGGAAAATAAGAAATTTATATAGTATTCGCAATGGGTCTACTTTATCCCGTTCCCGGACTATAGTCCTGCACTGATCGCATTCATTTGCCTGTACGATTACAACTTGGGAGAATTATCTACGCCCCTTACACTTAAGATACCTACCTCAATGCATTGTAGAACTCAAGATGTAACTTCTAATATATTGGAACCACCGATTGTCTGGGTATATCGGCAGAACGGGAACATTTTCTCTTTTTCATCGAGAGAGATTCCATCACTTTTCAAAATGGTTGGATTTAAAAGGGGAATCCCCCGTTTGGCTGTCCCGGATGTAGCCCGGAAGTACCAATATGGAGGAATTTGACGGTTGAAATAAGTTAAAAGTTACACGCAAATATTGCGATCAAAAACGAAAATGTCTTTGTTCTGCCGATAAACCCAGACAATTGTGGATTCAACTACACGAAAAGAATGCTAAATTACCAAGGAATCTATTGAAGTAGGTATCTGAAGTGTAAGATCAGTAAAAAATTCTCCCATGTTGTAATCGCACAGGCAAAAGATTGAGATGTTCACAGGACCATAGTCCGGGAACGGGATAAGGTCTACTTACCAGTAATGTTGCAAGTCCTTGTACGCCCAAAGATAACCAATCAAAACCATGGGCTTTCACTGAGTGTCATTTTTATGATTTTTATGACACATGTCCAAAAATAGGCTACTGTCATTAACATTTCCTCGACGACTTTGGCCCTGAAAAATAAGAAATTCATTCGCAATGTGTCTACTTACCAGTAATGTTACAAGTCCTTGTATGCCCAAAGAAAACATCTTCAAAATAAGCAATCAAAACCATGGGCTTTCACTGAGTGTCATTTTTATGCTTTTTATGACACATGTCCAAAAATAGGCTATAGTCATTAACATTTCCTCAACGACTTTGGCCCTGAAAAATAAGAAATTTATATAGTATTCGCAATGTGTCAACTTACTAGCGTTGTTGCGATTAAGCTATACATCGCGATATACATCGCCAAAGCTGATTCTGGCGATGTATCGATGTCTGAAACAAAACATCGATGTTTTTAAAAAAAATTAATTTGCTAAATATCACCCTTTCTTATCTTATTTTGACGCAAATCGCTTACCTTTCTCATGTCTTATTTCATTTCCAATGTTTTCTGATATTCTTTCGCTTTAAAACTGTTTTAGCTAGTCGAAATGAACCTTTTATCTAAAAAAATTTACTTTACTTTCATTTCACCGTTACTAGAAGTTCCCGGATGTACAAGCGTACTCTTATTAATTTGTTCTGTTCAGTATTTTAGTGCATTAGCGTTCGGTGTTTCAGTGCACTTTTCTCGGACTTTTTCTCGATGTATATCGCGATGTGCATCGATGTTTACTACTGAAAATTGCCGATGCATCAATGTACGATTATGGCACATCGCGACAACACTACAACTTACCAGTAATGTTACAAGTCCTTGTATGCCCCAAAGAAAACATCTTCAAAATAAGCAATCAAAACCATGGGCTTTCACTGAGTGTCATTTTTTATGATTTTTATGACACACGTCTAAAAATAGGCTACAGTCATTACATTTCCTCAACGACTTTGGCCCTGAAAAATAAGAAATCTATATAATTCGCAACATGTCTACTTACCAGTAATGTTACAAGTCCTTGTACGCCCTAAGAAAACATCTTCAAAATAAGCAATCAAAACAATGCCACCACCATTTGTTAGATGCCAACCGCTGATCGCTGACTGCCATAACATAAAAACGGAGACCATAACAATATGTTACCATTTTTTGGTGGTGACATAAAAATAGACACATATGTACAAGACCTAACTTTTGTATATTTCAATCAATTTTGGATAATGTGCAGCAAAGCTATGGCCTTTTATAATTTAGGGAGTTTCAGCCATTTTGATTTTTTCGAAAATAACATGGCAGAGAAGTTTTGTTTGAATTATTAATCTTACGATTCATGCTTGTTTTGTTTTTGTTGGTTAGGTAACACGTCAATTAGCCTAAAATTGTATCAAAGATTAATTTACAATCAACAGTGAGTTTGGTTGTTGATGAAGTAACAAGTGACTGATGTCACAACAGATGATTACTTCAAATAGTTCCCTTCCCTTCACAACTTACCCTAAAGATACAGTAATTTTAGGTGGGCTTGTGAATGGTCCAAACACAATCCATAGAACGAAAAGCTTTGTAAAAATGTCATCAATTTTTCATCCATTAATTACGCTATATGTATGAAGTTTGATTAAGATTGGGCATCTTTTACATTCTTGTTGAGCCCCTAAATAACTGATCACAGACCTTTAGTAAATACAACTTTATTTAAAGTGGGGCTGAAAAGGGATAAACCTTCATCTATCATTTTTCTATGTTGCAGAAAAAAAGTGGATCGTCATTATGTGAATTTCACAAAAATCATCATAGAGTATAAACAGGGAAAAGGCAGTATGACCAGTACAGTGTTGACAGCCGAGTTTATAGAGAGACATCTATCATCACTTGTGGATCCACCATCAATATGGGAGATTGAGAGAGGGCATTTTTACAAACTTGATTTAAAAATGTGTCAGATGAAGTCCCTGCAGTATGGATTCTCTTGGGGAGATGAAAGGTAAATTAAAATACAGAGCAGTAGGGGGTGACAATGCAATGCAACCAGCATTTACAATAAATTGAGCAACCAATGTATTTTTACCATAAAATAAGTAATATTGATGTATTTTGGATAAGCACACAAATCAACTTAAAATAATTAACAAGTTCTTTTCATTTTCAAATTCATTTGGTACACTTCTCCATATTTGGCATTACAAGCATTATACACCCTTGCATTATGCATAGATACCTTTCAGATTTTATTTTTTTGTCTCCATATGTGTTTTTATCCCATTTTGAAAAAGTGCTATATTGTTCTGTATTTTCAGAGTATAACTGTATAAAGAGTAAAAAGCAATGCACATATTTTCAATATATTCATTACTGGTAAGTGTTTTAATATAACTTGTCATAAACTACATTTATAAATGTACAAAGATATTTTTGTATCTAGGACCCCCAAGCCCAAAGTGGTGTCTGTAGTGGAGACTCCATCTAAGATCCTCTACATGGATATCTCCCTGAATGACTTGAGTGAACTGGACCATGCAGGGTTGGCTCCTCTGAGAAACCTTCGTGCATTGAATGCCTCGCTGAACAGAATAACTAGGTAGGATGTATACAGTAATTCAAAGGAAAAACAGATTTATTCAATGACAGTGATTTAATTGCCCCATATGGCGTAAATATCATATATTCTGTATTTTCACGCTTTGGGATACAGAGGATACATTTTACATCATCATATCCCAGGCTTTGATCTCTAATAATCAAATAAAGTCATTGCATAACTTGCATTGATTTTGTAATCAAATTTTTATTTTAGGTTTGTTGGTGTTGAAATATGTAAACATTTACGCTACCTTAACCTCTCTCACAACAACATACAAAATATAGAGGGCATTGCAAACTGTACATCACTGGCTGAGTTAAACCTCGCTATGAATGACATTGAGGATCTCACCTACGTGCCATCTTTACCTAACCTAACAGTGTTACACATAAACAACAATAAGGTAACAATGCAATATAAATATAATATTATTTCTTCAAAATCTACCAGAATCATCTCTAGTCACCACATTCTTTTATAGAGTAAAATCATTTAAAACTTGCATGAAACACACAAAATTAAAATTATGTTAAATTCAATCAAAAATAGATTGAGTAAAGCAGTTAAGTCATGGTTTATGCAATTTTTGAATTCATTATTATGATAAATCATACTTTTTTCTTGAGCTTAACTCCCTTTGACCATTTTTGATATCAAAGTATTTATTCACTGTATGAACTATGCATATATATATGTTTATATTAAAGAGGACTTTTCATTCCAGTTGAAATCATTAAATGGTATTCAGGCATTATCACACCTAAAGGAATTGCATTGCCAACGCAACAAATTGGTAAGTCATGATATAGTGTAAAAGCAATTTGTTTTTACTGGGAATGTTTTCTTTGCTCATGTCGCAAGTTTTACTCTTTTGTGGACGTTGTTTGGCATCCGGCGATTATCATTCGGAATTTGGCATCTGTAACAAATGGCACGTGATGAATTTTGCATGTTAATGATATTATGGCACTTATAAGAAGGCATTTACATAACAAATGTCACCATTTGGAATCACAGTGTTACAGAGTGAGACATCTAGTAAGTCCCTTAAGATTGTCCATTGTACAACAGTTTTTTCATTTCATGAGTGAAACATTTTGTTTTTAGAGAGATGTGATTCCCATTGCTAGTTCATTTCATCTTATAATGCTGAATGCTGCTGAAAACCAAATAGAGTCTCTGCAAACAACTGCTGATATACTCAAAGGCCTTTCTCACCTAAGGACACTTAACATGTTTGTAAGTAGACTCTGTTATGCTGCTTAATAATTAGGGAGGCTATTTTTAAAATCATTTTTTCGAGAAAAGTGTGAAACTTTTTTATAATATTGTCAAAATGCATTATGAATTTTAAATTCAGGAACATTGTAATCTACAAGTTTTCGGGTCAATAGACCTCAGGATCAGAGCCCCAGTGGCAAAGCACATAAATACAAATAAACCATGTAGACTTGCCAATGAAAATTGTGCAAGTTGAAGCAAAAAACAAATTGAGATTGTCGAACAAGCAAACACCACTATGTCACATGATCAAAATGTCATACATATAGGTGTTGGTAAATATCACATTAAATAGACATAGCTAGTGTCATGAAATAGTCCAGGCTGTTTTGTACATGTAAGAGATTCTACCTGTGCATAAATATATCCATGTTCATACAGTAAACAGTTTACTCATGCTGTGAATGAGCTAAATGAAATAGAACCTTCATGTCCATATATGTTATTGTTTGTAGAACAACCCAATAGAGAGAGAGTCAAGCTACAATTCTGTACTTACTGATACACTTCAACTGCTGACACTTGACAACATTAGCGTGCGTTCACACAGAGATCAAGTAAGTTAATGTTTTATGTAATAGCATCAGTGTGTCAATGAACAGCTCATATACAGTGTCTAAGTACTTAGGTGGGTCAAAAAGTTTTGCAGTTGATGCCATAACTTCAAGGAAAATAGGACTTTTACAATGAAACTTGGTACACATATGTGTTATACATTTATACATTATATGTCAAAATTTGGGACCTCAATTTTGATTGGTTCTTGAGATATGGTTGCTATGGTAACCAGAGTGGTGGGTACCATGTTCAACCCGAAATTACGTTTTTCCAAATAGTTTTCTTGCTTGAATAAACTCTTTGTAAAGTAGCAATTAGCATGTGTAAGTGTCTTTGGGTGGCTATTTTTCTTCAAATTCAAAGGACAGACATATTTCATTAGAGGAAATAAGTGATTTACTGGATATATCTAAGGGGTCCTATCATACAATTGTCACAAAGATCTTGAAAAAGCGGTATGTTGCAGCAAAGTGGGTTCCAAAGTTCCTCACAGTGGAGCAAAAGGAAGCACGTCTTGCAGCATCTAGGCAATTTCTGGATACGTTTTGGCATCATTTCCAAATGCTCCCTGAACCAGTTCATAAGTCTCTTGCAAAGTCTTGCCATTTTGAACCATGCACTGTATCAGATTTCTATGCTTCCATTTCATCAATTTGGTTGGTGTGGAAACATCTGCCATTTTGAAAATTTTGGAAAAAAAATTCAAAATTTCCTCACTTTTCCATCTCAATTTTTCAACTGGGTTTTGGACAGTATACATCACAAAGGAACTTATCGTGTCTCTTGTCTATTGTGATGTCATAGACACAATTAGAAAAATTGAAGAATTTGAAGAAAAATAGCCACCCAAAGACACTTACACCTGCTAATTGCCACTTTACAAAGAGTTTATTCAAGCAAGAAAACTATTTGGAAAAACGTAATTTCGGGTTGAACATGGTACCCACCACTCTGGTTACCATAGCAACCATATCTCGAGAACCAATCAAAATTGAGGTCCCAAATTTTAACATATAATGTATAAATGTATAACACATAATTATGTGTACTAAGTTTCATTGTAAAAGTCCTATTTTCCTTGAAGTTATGGCATCAACTGCAAAACTTTTTGACCCACCTAAGTATTTAAGTAAGAGTATGGTCAGCCACAGTTTCGGTATGGTACGGTATGATTCTCAGTTCTTGCCTCTCGATGAGGAAACTGATAAGTACCTACTTACACCTTGGTAATTGAAGTCATGGTATCTGAATTTTGAAGGCCAATAACATTCCAGAGAATATTTGTTAATGACATTTTTTTACTATTTTAACAACCCTTCACCCAATGATTGGGTATCAGTAAGTATTGTTACTCAAATAGAAAATTAAATAATTTACTTTTCAACTTCAGACTGTCGGATACTACAAAAGTGGCTCAAATAACAATATTTCTGGCTTGAAGGAGTCTGCAAGAGCAGCCTTTCACGAGAAGATCAAAATCCAAAAAGATAAAATGGAAGAAAATGTTAGATTTCTTCAGAGAAGAATTATGTAAGTTCTTGTTTTTTCAGTGAATAGCTAGTCTGATTTTCTCTCAGCTTGATGAAAATTCTAGATTAATTTAAAATTGTTGAACAAGCTGGTAAACATTTCAAGAATTTTCCTGATTTTCAAAATCCTAGACTGGATGTAAATAAAATAAAACAAATTGGTATTCTGGTGTCTCACATCCTAAAGCAATATTTTGTTTCTTATGCCTATTGTTTGGTACCCTGCGCGCAGAGTCTAGTTATAAACTACCCTCGGCCTAGTATCTGAGTATAGACTCTATATTATTATTATTCTCAACCAATGATCGAATTGGAAGGAACACATGCTAAGGGCGAGCTCATTAACTGCACAATTACATGAATTATGTCAGAGAAAATGACCATATATAGGAAGTCGTCCGTTTTCGATGACGAACTCTGACTCACTCAGTGAGATCAGAGATTTATTGTAAATTGAAAGAGTGAAGACAAAGCTCTCTTTCAAGAAGTGAAGTCAAACAAATGAAAAGGGTAATCATTTGGATACTGAGATATCATATATTGAATCAGTCACATATGTTTTCTATTTCTAAAGTTGTTTTCCTCATTTGACAAATGTGACATCATTTTGTTCACTCTACCTTATACACTTATAGAGATGTCCAGGAAGAGTACAGGGACTATGAGGATAGGATGAAGAAAGATATGGAATCATGTCTTAGCTACCTAGATGGACTTTCTCTAGACCAAGCAAGGAACTATGACACTAATGCTATCCGGGGAAATATTGGTTCTCCTGCACCACCTTGGCATGTGAGTGTTTCTTAAAATCTTGTTTTCTCCTTGAATGTTACTCATGAATATAACTGTGATTTTCACTTTTTTGATACTGAATGTGGATTGGTTTGATCAAGAGGAGGCTGCAACTGGCAACTTTTCCAAGTGGAGAATGAAAGTCTTTACTGGTATTCTGTCCAATTGTGCCAAAATGTATATAGATAACACAAGGCCTGTTACAGCCATGTCCTCTTCATGTCAATAAAACAATGTGCTGTTTCCATTGCAGCCAGGACCAAGCTACCATTCAGACAGGACAATCAAGGATAAGAAGGACTACAGTGGCATAAAATCAGCTGATGAAGTTTTGAGACTTGCAGTCAATGAACTCTCCAAAGAACAGGCTAAATTATCTCAATAACGTTCCAATGGAACACATGTGCTCAGATAATTCTCAATCAATAGACAGCAGATATCCAAAGTGATCCAATCCGAATGCTCATCTAACTTCAGCTGTATGTCGATGTTGTATAAATTCTGTATGTTTTGCTTGCTCAATATGTTTGTTCTTTTGGATGTGACATAGTCAGCAATTGCTGGTGCAATCTTTTGTAATCATTAAACTGACACGGATCTGTAAAGTTTTATGCTTGGTTCTTCAATGCATGGAAACTTCTTCTGACAGCATACATGCTTGGGTTTTCCCTTACTCTAAGAATGAAGCTGATCTAGTCAAATTTTTTTGCTACCTGTTTTGCCCCAAGCAAAAATTGGAGTGAGTGAAGAATAAAAATGTGAAGACAGTATATTGCATAGAACATTGCTTTATTGGATCTCTGATATGATTGAAAAATTGCGATTGCCACTGCTTGGTTTCAGGTTAATCTTGTCTTGCTTCTTCAAGAAAATCATTGATTTAATACTTTGTGTTGTATTCAAACCCAGGTCACAGCACTTCTTGTGATTTGTCTTTGACCTATGACTGCTGACCTATACCGGCGATTACTAGAGTGCTGCTGACTCGATAAAAGGCTGGCGCTGGCTAGAATTGTCTATGGTTCTAGCCAGGATAAAAATACCAGTTCTTCAACTCGACAATGGGAAGAACTGCTCTACCTTAGTGACTAATATGTCATGATATGACATCTAAAGAGTCGATAAAAGATATATATATATGGTACATCAACATTCCAGTTTCTATTAAGTGCCAAAATTGAAAATAGGGTATAACACAGATAGGTCCTTACATTTACGCTTATATGTGTTTCAATATTATGAGCAAATATTACCAGAACACATTTGCAGTATTTTCTGTCCAAAAGTCAGTTTCAAGATGGATATTTTAAGTTTTTAGTCAAGGTAATTTACCTTTTCATCTGATACATTTTTAATGAATATCCATTCCATTAATACAATTAAACACGGGTACATTTTGATATAGTTTTCTTAGAATAATTATAATTGACTAGACTTCTTTGAGCTACCTGGTGATGAAATGCGTATATTGTAATAAGCACCGGCATCTAAGTAATTGCTCATTATAAATCATGTTTAAAGATGTGTTTACTCAAAAATATGCGACTCAATGTTTGTATAGTCTAGTGTTATGTTTATATTAAAAATTATATTTTTAATATTGTTTGTTTATTAGTACTTTTGTTTGTTTTAACTGTCATTTGTCATTTGAAATAAATAGTATATTGATTTTTAAAAGAAGTAAAATAGTTCAGTATTACTGGTTGTTTTTAGCCAATTATCAATATGTCAACAGAACATCACTAGGCAATATAAACTCACTGCCCATCGCCCATCATATTCCACGATGCTAGTCCCACACGAGACATGGTTGAACTTTTGTTGGATTTTCATATTTTACTTCTTCCATTATAACTCGATTCTGTGAAATTGTATTATCGTTACTTTCATGCCCCATTTATGCATCAGAAACATTTTGACCGAATTTTTTAACAATATACAAAGCAAGAGATTATTATCATATCATGATGACAATAATTTTACAAAAGAGTTGAAACTGCACAAAAGTGTCAGATATTGCACCAAAATGCACCCAGGTTCATTTCGGAGATACCTGGCTTTTATCATTGAGCACTTTTGAAATAAACTTCAGTTTCGTATCTATTCATACAAAGGCCACCAGCAGATTAATCTTGTTGTTTGCAAAACTGATTTTTTGAAAGGACAAAATTGATCAGAATGTTTTTTTATTCTTATTTTGTGACTGGCATTCAGCATTGGTGACAGTATTCTACTTTTGTAACCATGTACAATACTGTAACTTTGGAGGTGGTGACATTTTGTCATGTTAATTCCTTGTTTCAAATTGCTTAAATTAAGTTTTTCCTGAGATGAATAACAACAAAGCATTTTACCAGAATAGTTTTAGATTGACCAGTTTGGCACTCCTAGTCCCAAAATTACAGTAAAACCTGTATATCCAAACTCCTCCCAGTGTGAACTTCAACACCGTCTCAGTTCGGAAAAGCAAGCCCAATGTCCTGTTTAAGATCCTCTATTCTTACTTTTGAAAATGGATTCTAGCAATACTAACCCACATGAATCTACTTGTTGAGACTCGATCAACTTGAGTTCTGAGAAAATGAGGATTGTAGAAAGGGTGCATTGACTCAACATGGGGACATACACCATTAACCATTGTGGTTATACCATCAGGTATGTCACCATGTAAGGTCAATGCACTCTTGCTGAAATCCTCATTTTCTCAGAAGAACTTTGATCGAATCTCAACAAGTAGATTCCTGTTGGATAGTATTGCTAGAATCCATTTTCGAAAGTTAGAATAGGGGTTCTTAAGTAGGACATTAAAACTTAACTAAGGGCTTTTTGAAATTTTTGTTTAGTATGACTCCCATTGACTCATTTATTAAAAAAACTTAAAATATGAACACCTACTCATCCGAACATGTTTGTCCAGTCTCAGTGGCAGTTGGAAACAAGGCATTAACATGACAAAATGTCAACATCTGTTATTTGTTACAAATGCTTGTAGTGATGACATAAAATTGACTATTCTAAATAACCAAATGAACACCATAATTTCCTATTTTGAGACCATTTATTTTCACTCAAGATTACTATAAATATTACGTAAAATACAATTTTTCCCGGGTGAAAATGCCTCAATGTCTCTTCATTATTCCGTACATCCATATTAACTCAATGTCTTAAGAAACATTCAACACCAAATGACGAATGTGTCTATTCAGTAATCGTATGCACTATTAAATAGCCTAGTATTCAAATTCAAATTGGAAATAAGATTCGTCAAATTTATTGTGCACTCTAACATATCCATCTTCTCCACCACTGCTGTACCTGCAATCAGAGATTTGGGTAATATTAAAAATTAATTGAAAAAAACCACTGATTATATGTTTGCAAAAACCTTAATACATTTACATTTTTCAATTTTAAATATTTTTGGCGACTGAAAAGTTCCATTAATAAATTTTCTTGAAGTGTGTGAAAATCTACATATATTAATGTTGTGTAGATAAGCAAAAAATCAAACAACCATTCACAAAGATAGATACCAAAATTTTTATCGAAAAATGAAAGGAGGAGGGGAAGTATCGCAACAGACTTTGGAAGGTCATATGTTGGATTTTCTCAGGATTTAAACCAGCGCATATGTTAGGCCAATGCATTATCTCCAGGAAAGCACTCATAGAGATGATAAAATAATTTCGTCTTTGAGACAGGGAAGATGCAAACAACCCAGCCACGTTTTTCTGAAATGCTTTTCAAACCACCCCTGTTTTTCCAATTTTTGTTGCATCGATATGTTGCATTTTGACACACAGTTAAACACTTTAAAGGAATACGTAATTCCTTCAGGGGTTTTAAAGATATCCATTATGGGTGACCAAAACTAGCTGAAAGCAATGGATGGCATGAGTTTTCCCTCTGGGAAAATAACATGGGAAATATTGTTTTCCACTTTATCGAAGAGTAATCACCGACTCCTTTAAAGGGGTTAACCATGTCTTAAAACGCAACATATCGATGCAACAAAATTGAAACAGCTGGGGTGGAAGGGGTTGAAAATTAGGATAACATTTCAGAAAAAACATGTGGATGGGTTGTTTGCATCTTTCCTGTCTCAAAGTCAAAATTATTTTTTCATCTCTTTAAGTGCTTTTCCTGGAGATAATGTATAAGTCTCACATATGCACCTGTTTAAATCTTAAGAAAATAGCCAAAATCCAAAATATGACTGTCCGAAAGCTGTTGCGACACTTTCTCTCCTCCTTTACCCAGCATGCCCAAAACCTGAGATCTTGGCATTAGTCTGCTGAAAAATTTATTGTTCAACAAATCCTTACCCTTTTCCATCAGGATGAAAAGCAACGCTGTTGATTGGTCCGAAATGACCTTTAACCCTGCCAAATTCATCCTCAAGAACTATATGAAAGAACCTAGCGTCAAATTTTCCAATCTTGGTTGAGGTGGTAGTTACATCCATGGCCTCTTGACCACCTCCCAAAACAACCTATATATGAAACAGAATGTTCAAATAAAATTTTTACAGTGACATGTGCAGTGCCCATTCATTCTAAACAATATGTAATAATAGTACAAATAAATAATCTAAAGTGTAAAATAGATAGTAAATGAAGCTGTTACTACTTTTGCAAACTTTACATATATTTCCTTACATTATCTATGACTCCATTAGTGTGTATCATGCATGACTTCATATCTCTCATTTGAAATGGTATGAAGACAGGGTATCAATATGCACCAAATTTAGCACCTTATAAAGGCTGTTTCTTTCAATTCAGTTGCGAGGGGTTTGCACAATGTGTATCTATTGGTTTGTGAATTATATTTCATCTTCTATAAACAGTGCACTTACATGTGGTTTGATGGGGGAGATTGCAGCAGAGTTGACAGGTCTTTCAGTTTTATAAGTCTTCATCTTTTCTAATGTCCTTACATCAAAAAGCTGCAAGATAAATTAACAAATTTTATTCATATAAATGAAATGCATATCATGTATGTATATACTACTGCAACCACTACTTATTTTCACTAAATACAAAAATGACATATCTGTATGAAAGAAAATTGAATCATCTGATCCTACATATATACTCATCTTATTCATATCACACACAAAACTTACCTTAGCGGTGGTATCTTTGGATGCAGTGATAATCATAGACTGGTCTTTTGTCATCTGGATATCATTGATTTGTTTACTGTGTTCTTGTACAACCTTGGTGTTATCCCCAGTCTGGAAAGCATTCAAATGTGTGTACAATCATACCATATAGTTTTCAGAATCTTAGACGCAATCTTGGGAATCATTTATTTACATCAGATAATCATTGGCCATGTCAATGAAATAGACCCGGCTCATAGAATACATGTATAGCATTGAGTGTCTCATACATGTATCTTTCAAATCTTCAATGTGCCAGCTCTGTTATAAATGCCATTGATTTACAAATAATGCAAATATAAAACAAGTCACTCAGTGAACAATTCTGTACCTAAAATTCAAAATGGTTATCTTGATATTTATCCAGCTTGCTCAAAAATGAATCAGTTTCAAATTTTCATTCATAAAAATTTCAAATCAATCTGAGCAGTTTGTTTGGAAATGCAAACAAGAAAAAAAAAGACACCCACTGCCCATAATCGATCAACCTAACAACAGAACTGTCCCTTTTTTAGGCACAATTGTAACCCCCTAGAAGATATCTGATAGAATCTTACAGCTAAATCCCATTGGCAAAGATCTCCATTCTCATGTCCTGTGATGATCATGTTATCCATTGGTCCCCAGATGGCGCTTGTCACCTTTGGTCCATGGACTGGCATTATTGCTACTGGTTCACTAAAACCTGCAATGATATAAAATTGTGCATCAATTGATGAATGTGCCTATTTTTGCACCTACTTTTTCCACATGATTACTTGCTCCCTATATGTTGAATATGATATAGTAATAAGAATGAAGATGACACAATATTGGCCAAAAGTGCCTGTTTCTATAATCTTAGTTACAGTGATCATAAACATGTATTTGTATTTCACAAGGATGCTTCATAGTTTTTTCTGTAGTGAACATAAGTTAAAAACTTACTGTTAACATCATATATGTGTATTTCACAAGGATGCCCCATAGTTTTATCTGTAGTGAACATAAGCTGTTTGCCGCTGTATGAGAACTGACAAGACCTCACTGCAGTGTTGGTTGTAACTTCAGATATTGTGCTCCCTAAAAGTAAAGAAGAGATCAACGATTAAAAAAATGAAAACTGAGTTTGGAAGTAAAAGTATTAAATTGTGTACAATTGTGTATTTTGGAATTTTGCTTTTCTAATGTGTCAAGAACACTAAAGGTCAGGTGGCTCAGATTCGGAACGCATTTCTAATAAATAAACAATGGGTTTTTATGTATAAATAGACAGGTCTTGGTTCATTTTTAAATTCTGTGTTATTCACTTATTTCAGTTCTAATGTCGTACCTGTTTCACAGTCCCATAGTCGCAATGAGTTGTCTGCAGCCCCTGAGAGAAACCTTGATGTATCCCCTTATACACAGTTAGGGAAAAGTAATTTCATAACATTATAAAATGGGTTTCTGAGTATTGGTTTTCGCTTGAGTAATGGCTTTGAGAGTATTTGATCATTTTGATGTACTCCAAACAAGAATAGGTGATGACTAAAGTAGCTCCATCTTTAATTCTGATCGTAAAGTTCCCTTATTCAAAATAATTATATAAAAAATCATAACAATCTGTAACTTGTAACATCATATATTATTCAAACATTTTTTATAAATATCAAAGCTTGGGAAGTCTCATTAACAAGTGAATTCTAGAACACACACCGCACATTTTTTTTAATGCTGCTTACAAGACATTCAGAAAATGAGTTTGTATCATAGCCAACCACTAATGCTACAGGTTGCTCATTATTATTCTTTTTGGGGAATTATTTGATTACTTTTTTCAAAGGATACAATTGACATCTATGCACCACACGGCGCCATTGTGTCCTTTAAATGATCCTAGTCTCTCTCCATTGAGAGTGTACCATACATTGGGCTGTGCATCCTTTGCAGCTGAGAACAATAAATCACCTTCTCTGTTGTACTTGATCTGGGTTATCGACCTCTCATGGCCGTGTAACATTATAGGCTTCTGAAATCATAGTAAAAATACACAAATAAAATGAATATCACATTATAAAAAGAGCAGGCAATGTTTGAAAACTGCAACAGATTTTGACTGTTTCAAGCAATATAATAGGCACAATTTCTGAAAGAATCTGTTTGGTGACCTTTCTGAAAAGACGACTATTTCAGTCACATTAGTTGATCAAGGGTCAAGGGGATTTCAAGGGTCATTCTGACCATGACTATTGTGATCCTGGTCATGTAAATGATATATAGGAGTAGTAAAACTGACTGAAGGTCAAAGCAGAACTCTGTTATCTAAGTTCAAAAAATTCAAATATCAACAATGAACATGTGTTTTTTTATTTCCTGTTGATTGTAAATTTCTGATAACTTTCCCAAGTCTTTCACACCTTTTAGATTCGTCCTCATTATTGCACGAGTCATCCTTAAATTTTACTTCTTGCGCATTCACATTTATTATAGCAGAAATAGAATTTTTTTAAAGTTTTAAAGGAATTCTCATCGAAGGAAATGACAAAATATTGCTTCTGGGACAAGATCAAATGACTTTGACATATTCTTTTCCCTACCTATATTGTAATTTACAATCAACACAAATATTCATATCATATTTAAGCATCCTCCTAAGCAGGTATCCAGAATCCGTACCTCCTCCTTCCTCCTGCTCTAACCAATTTGGAAGCGCCTGATTAAACTGAATCACGTGACCTAATTATGCGCAATGACTTATACATGATTTCTGTCGCAATCAGATTGCGAGTTCTTAATCGGGGAAATGCTAACTGCTTATCGCAGGGGGTAAAAAGAAAGAATATATTCTGGATTTTGAAGCCCTGTGATCGGAGGATGTATTTAAGCAGATATTGGACAAAGGACGATTCTCGGTTTGGAGAACAGTCTCCTGGGCTAATAATTTTTTCATGAAAAATATAGAAATATTACCCAAATTAAACTATGAATATTCGAAAGAGGACATTTAAATCTACAAGATGTAAAAATAACAAATTGGTCTGAAGCAGGGATAACGCTCAATTTGACCGATTCAATAAAATACAAGTCTTGATTTGGGGAAAGAAGTTCATCAGTGTACTACGCTAATATTTTTTTGCGAAAAATCTAGAAATATTACCCAAATTAAATTATGACTATTCAAAAGAAGACATTCAAATCTATATTATGTAAAAAAATCAAATTTGTCCGAAGCAGGGATAATGCTCATTTAGATTGATGAACTTCGTTCTCCAAACCGAGAATCGTCCTTTATAAAAAAAATATTTTTGATCAATAAAATCATTGATTATAAACCGTAAGTGTCTTTGATGTCCATGAAGAAAACATATAAAGATTTCTACTTTGAATGGATCTTCATGTATATTTTGAAATAGGTTCAATAGAGAAGGTGTTAGACCAGGCAATCATGTCTAAAGCCAGAAAAATGTTATTTTCAAACATTTTATCCTTTATAAATCTCAATGTTCCTTTAAAAAAGAAGATATTTTTGTAAATATATGGATAAATCATTATGATTGGGAGCAATGATGTTATGGTGTCAGTTACACTATTTTAGAAGAGGTATGTGCATATCTTAGCTACTTAGGACAATCGTGTAATAATTAGGACCGTGCGATAATTAGGACCATTTTCCCTACTACACAAGAAACAATTGCATCTGAAATATGAAAAGTTGTGCACCTAAAATGTATCATTTTCCATATAATATTGGACTGTGGTACTTTGATTGCTTATTTTTGGATTTGAATGCAACCAAACCCGTCTGGCCCAGTTATCTACTCCTGACGTCAGGGTTTAGATTTGAATGATGAACAGAAAAATGAAACTCCACAGCTCTTGTGATTCCATTAGCGAAGATGACACTTTCCCATAAAAATTAAGGAAGTGATTGACCTAACTCAAACATCAATAGAAAATAAATATCCAAAATAAAATCCAGATAGAAAAATCATTCACATCGACATTGATTGAAATTTACTCTACCGAGCCGACAGAAGCCAGCTGAGACAGCTGTGTTCAGTGGCCTTCAATAAATTGAAATATTCATTGAAAAAATCATACATGTCAAACATGTGTTGCCATAAAAATACTAATCCTACAAATTACAGACAAAAGTAAACCCCGAAATTCACATATGGTATAGAATGCTATGTGACTATCATATCATAATAACATTTGCTTTGATTTCACAAACGTAAAGCCATCAAATCCTCACCATTTTGCTAATATTTTTGTGAATATTTCCCGGTTTCTGGAACGGATGTACTAACCAAGCATGCGCAAAATAAACGGTCTCACGCCACAGTTTCTAAATCAAATCGGCAAAACAGGGCACTTTGGCCATCCCCGATCCCATCCCTTGATATGTTCAAGTCCAAGTGAATATGTGAGCGCAAGTGCTAAGTAACGGGAAGACACCAAAAATGGTTACAGAACATAGCAAGAAAAAGAAAAACATCTAAGTACACCAAATTAAACCCAAAGTGTCCTTCATAACAACCCAAAGAAATTGAAAGAAAGGTGTGCTAAATTCAATCCCTCTTGTAGGAATCGAACCTGGGACCCTTGGATCCAAAGACTTATGCTGTACCGACTGAGATATAAAGGCTTAAGCCACTTCAGCTGTCCCGTTGTAGCAACTTGGTATCCAGAGGTCCATTTCTCCAAATAGACACCAGGATCGTTACTGTAACGGATTTGGGTCTTAGTATGTATAATTTCTCAGTTATCTCTGTATTTACATAGAGGCTGGAGGTCATAGTATTGTGGTCAAACTTTACTGGCATCGTCAACCAATCATGTATCGGTATCTAGTTTTAATTCTGGGTATCTTATAGGCTAGTGGCTTTCAGTTAGTAGGGACACTTCCATTTTTCAATTACATTATGGTAATCTTCAGTCCACTTTTTGGTTAGTTTTGGTGCAAGCAGTCGTTTATTGTGGGATATTCTCAGTACCAGCTGCATTCACATAGCCAATCATTTGTCTTGGTCAGTTTTTAGGTTTGTCCTTTAGTCTTTTAGTGTTCAAGTTAACCAATCAGTTGGCTTCAATGTCTCAGTCTCTCTGTACAAGTTGCACTTAGGTTCACAGGGGTGATGTTCATCATCAGAACCTCAGTCTCGCCCCTGACTCGTTTCAGTTAAGGCCTTCAGCTCCTATGCTCTCTTTGTGGATATTTGGACTAGAAATCAATTAAGGAGTCCAGTTAATCAATTAATTTGAAAAAATTGTCACCATCTTGGATATTTAGATGGACCACAGGAACTTGGTTGTTTAGGGTGATTTATTATGCGTATTATTTCCATGTATTTTGAACACATGATTTGTTGACTCGATTTTATAATTGCCAGCCATCAGTCCAGGTATTTTACCTAAGATTTAATAAGTATTGAGGTTACATGAGTTGTACTTGTATGCATATCTTATTGTTATGTAACATGTTCATGTATTTTATTACTTAATATTAACATGATAGTAATGTTGATTGTTGTTCACCTCAAACTTATATGTTTGTTTGATCCTTATTATTAAATCAACCCCAACGATACTGCACAACCCACAATACAACACTTAGGGTCATGACATTACATACACTCCCCTCCATAAGTTTGGCAACCTTTTTCCCCCATTGAACTACGTGTTAAAGCCTCTTTACCTTTGAATTTTTATTTACTTAACCTGCGATGAAAATACTTATACTATTGATGGAAACGTAATTTGACTTTAATTCCAATACCTCTAAATTTTCTCAATTTTTTTCCTCAATTACAATAGGTCGAAAATTTATGATAAATTTGATGAATTTTTGAAAATCGACATTCCCATGTTAACCAATGGGAAATGGTAGGTTTGCCGCAAGTCATATGACAGAATATCCATCCATCCGAGTCCTTGCAAAAAATACGAGTTAGGCAGGTAATTGAATTTGCTAACTTTATTTAACAAAAAATTGATATGTTTCTTCAGGTTCAACAAAGTTATAGGGCTTTAAAGTCAAAATTGTTTTTCAAAAAAACTCTCCCATTGAAATAACACAGGAGGCGAAAAATAATTTTCAAAAATGACTTTGAAGCGCTGTAACTTTAATATTCATCAAATAAACTAAACACTTAGTGTTCAAAAAAGTTAGACAATTCAATTTCCTATATAAAAATATTTTTTGCTGAATCTTTTACTGAAAAGATATCCTGATTTCTGATTTGCCCCGAACCCTCCATTTCCCATTTGATTACATGAGAATGACGATTTTCAAAAATTCATCAAGTTTATCATCAATTTGCGACCTATTTTAATTGAGGAAAAAAATTGACATAATTTGGAGGTATTGGAAATAAAGTCAAGTTACGTTTCCATCAATATCATAAGATATTTCTTCGCCGGTTAAGTAAATAAAAATTCAAACATAAAGAGGCTTTAACACGTAGTTCAATGGAGAAAAAAGGTTGCCAAACTTATGGAGGGGAGTGTAACCAATGTTCTATGTTAGTTCCATGATTCTTGAAAAGCACAACTTGAAATAGTTCCTAAACATTCAAGACCAAAGTAATGGCAGCAGATCAGAATGTAGATTCTATTGCAAATCTAAGAAACAATAATACAATTGCATGAATCACAGTTACAAAGGGAAGAGACTAAAATTCTTAAAGAAACCTTGCAAGAAAAGCAAACTCTAAGGCTGCATTTTTGAACTGCCTGCGGTGCAAGTCAATTGCAAAATTTAATAAGTTTTTGTCTAGGTATCACGGAAAAGAACAATACTGAGCCACTGATGTGCAAATTGCATTGTCACAAGTTTTCAACTAAAAAGACAGTTCATCCAAGCACACTTATACCACTAATTACAATGTGTCAATCTTGTCGACTAACCATGTGTGACAATTGCGTCGGCCGTTTTTGCCAGTGCACTACAGGAGGTTGATTGCAATAAACCATGATGTCTTTCAAAAGATGATTCATGTGAATGTAAGTGCGCTTGGATGAGCTATTTTTGATGTAACGAGATGAGCACTGCATGATTGTTCTTTTTCGTGATACCTCGGTGAGAAAACTCATTAAAATATTACGCAATTCACTTGCACCGCGGGCATAAGAAAAATAGACCCTACATAATCCCAAAACCATGATCTAACCCCCCTGGCAAAAAATTCGTTAGAAATCATGCAGTTTTTCATCATTCTGAGGACTTTTTAAGTGATTTAAATTGTCAAAAGCGAACACCCCCTGGAATTTTTCAAAAAGTGAACCCCCCCCTCCCGTCCCTCGGGCCCGCCCTCGGGGCCCCCTCGGCAAATCCTCTTCATTCATACTAAAGTCATTACAATATATGATAAAGATGGCGCAAATATCGTCCAAGACACAAGGTCTTCACATCTTCATTTCATATTCAGGTAGATTACTTTGAAATTGTGGTGTGAGCTTCAGCCTACACAACATGGAAAAAGCGATGTAAGAACTTCTGGAATATTTTGCCACTTATCGTTTATTTGTGGCCGTATTTCCCAAACCATGGTGAAGGAAAAGCCAAATTCTGTTAGGACATACGATGAAGATGGATTTAAAAGGAGAGCAGCGTGCCTGTGCTTTAAAGATGAAACGGAACAAGAGGTAGATGTCTAAGCTTACAAATATTTTTTCCCGGTTTCTGTTCAGATTTATTTTTTCATCATGATCATTCAAGAACGGGGTGATACTAGCCTATCTATAGTCAGAAATTTTTTGAAATTTGGAATGAAAATATTCAGACTGACTTCAGTGTGTCGTATACAGACTACAGTCATATGAGTCTGTTTTCTACACTGCTTCAAAGGCAAGCAGTTGAACCTGAAAAATAAGATATACTATAGGCCTAGACTTACTTCGGTCCAAAGCCTTCTCTATATTCCGGCTTTGAGGAGGAAGATTGAGCTGCCTTAGTATTAAAATTTTGTAAATCATTGTGTCACACGCACAGTAAATATGGCATAATAATATGAAATATACCTTTATGTATAGATTTGAAGAACATCGGCTCACATCCCCGTCTGAATCTATTGTTATATTTGATTTCTTTAAGCGAGAATAATTTCAAATGTTATTCACGTCCAGAACCGGAAGCCATTTTTAGCTACAGCGAGAAAATTTCACCATGTGTCAAACTCCGAAATGAAATTTTGAAATATCTAAATCCAGACAAGCAATGCTTCATCCTAAATATGATTAATATTCTTAAAAATATTTATAAAATTTATTAAAAATGAGTTCTAGGTGCGTGTAGGTGCGTGTAGCACAGTACATACGAAATCAATGAAGTTTCGTCTAGCTGTAAGCTAGAGACTCGAGTAAGCCTAGACCATTGTGTCATAATATATAGAAAAATATATTCATATTGCACACGAATGACATTTGTATATTTCAGATTATTTAGTGTTTAGTGCATTAAAGCTGGACTGCGCTCCGAAACGCAATCTTTGGTTGTTTCGGGGGTGAACTTTACCATTTTGAGCCTAATGAAAGATTATAGAATGATGAACAAATGGGGCAAATCTTGTGTAGAAATACTTACGATAAATGTGTCATTTCAAAGATTATTCATTGAATTGCTTCGATCGGCGCCGACGATATGATTTTGGAAAAGTTTCTAAATGAAGAACGTAACGTCACTTCCGAATCATAGCATTCAAAATAAGAAGCGTTTAATTACTTTCAACATTCATAAGAAGACTGTGGTCTAGGGGTACAACTCTCGCTTAGCACGCGGGAGGCCCGGGTTCGAATCCCGTGTTCGCCTTTTTATTTTTTTAACTAAATGATTGTTCTTTGATATAACGCAGAAAAAAACAATTTTTATTTACATAAACTTTATATTAGAGCTTAAAAATGTAAAAACAATATATGTCAACATATTGCGTTTTGGAGCGATGTGCAGGTTTAAGCCTGGGCCCTCTTGTAATTTGAGGTCTGTCCGCCATGTTATTTTTTTTATAAGAAGTTACAGACTTTATGAGCCAATTTACAAATAATCCAACATATACAAATGTCATTTGTGTGCAATATGAATATATTTTTCTATATATTATTGCACAATATTATTTAGATTTCTTATATTTCAGGTTTAACTGCTTGCCTTCATGCCTTTGAAGCATTGTAACAGACTAGGGGTGATACTAAAATACACCTAGGTGTAATTGTGTTGTTTGTCATATCCAAAAAACTGATCTCTAATACTCCAATTCGCGATCAGAGTTCTGGTGTAATTAACATAAATATCTCCCATGATGTATCGCTTTGGAAGGGACAACTTTTCATTGGCCCGCCGAATGAGTCAATTACTCTGAATGAAACATCCGGAGATTGCAAAGTCAAAGGTCATAATCCGCTAATTTCATTGCTCGATGATAACATCATAGCGTATGTATAGCATCAAAATGGCGGACGATTACAGATCAAACAAAATTTCAACTAATTCTGATAAAACTAGCGTGAACCTTGACAAAATGGCAGTTTCTCAACTTCCGATCTTACATCAGCCCTCAAGCATAGTTATATGATCCAATCTGTTCAATAATCAGAAAGATAATCGTAGATTCAAAGTTACATTATTTATATTTTTTTGATCTTCAATGGCGTCTGAGTTATTTTTGGGAAATCAGTGACGTCACTGGAATTTGACGGCATTTTTAACTTCAGATTTCTTCGGTTTTAGGGTTTATAGTTCAAAAAGCCTTGTTGTATATCTTATTACAAACATATCTATCGTTTGTGCAAATGCAACTCTACATAAATGTTTAATAAAGCCTCACTCGGCATTGAAAATCGCACCCCTGTATGAGAGCTCTTCAAACAGGAGGTAACTAAACTGAATCGCGTATTGGAGTATTGACTCTTTAATGTCATTACAATTACCTATTTACTTGTGCCATATTGTATGCTTGGTCAAAGGCCATATCAAAAAATTACCACAGATTTACTAAATGTTTGAATATCACCATCTTTGTAATATATTTTCTAGTTCAAGAGTTATGATCCAATTTCTTCAAAATGCCTTTATTATTATAAGAACTTATTTGACACTGCTTCTGAAAAAATCTACACTTTTAGATGTCATCATTAATTGGGTTAGATCTCAATTTTTTAAAATATCAAAATTGGAATGTTAATGACACATTTGCACACAGTTTATTGAAAATATAACTTTCAATACTTCACTTATTTAACATTTACTCCCAATCTGAAATTGTTAATTCAGCCTTTTTTTAGTCTTTATTTTATTCTGTATCTATAAATAGTTTATTTACTTTCTACTTGAATAATAATAAATGGGAAGGTCAAAGTTGTTTCATTAAGATAAAATTGTTAATTATGATTAAAAGATCAGCTCTCATATTCAAAAGCTTAATCATAAAAGTAGGTTCGTAAATCAAAACAAATTGTCATATTTGAACTTCATATTCTTGAAAACTGTGAACTTTATATTATGACAGATAAGTCAGTCACTTATGTTTCACTGATGAGGGGTGATATAAATACTTTATGATAAATGATCATAAACTATTGTTATTATAGTCACATACAGTATTTGTATTAAGTATTTCCAGTAACAATATACCAATAAAATATTTATGTGAATACACTTTAACTGCTCTCTGGTCGGACAGTATAATACATGTGTGAGTCCTTTTAAATCATTACAAAACTAAATGGTAGTCCAGACTTCAAGTTCAACGTGATTTACAGTATTTCCCTCAAGGGGAGGACACTTTACTGCCTGCCACTTTTATTTTACATATATTTTTCAGAGATTTCTGTGAATGGAGAGCCCTGAAACCATTCTCACAGTGCTATAACCCAAGATACTTAAATCCTCCAAGGTTTACTTATAACTGAATTTTGCACTATAAATCTAAGTGTGCAGAGTTCTTTGAACATGTACTCCCCATCCTCTTGCCTTTCATTCCTCTTGAATGGGTTGTGATTTGTATTACAGTTATACATACAAGTACAAGCATACAAACTGTTTTTGTTGAAAATATATTGTCAATAACTGGTAAAAAAGTTTGTAAAAAGTATACTGCATTTATATTGTAATATAAGAGTTCTGATATCTAGCTGTGTCAATGTCTGCTTCAGAGCCCTAGCAAGCAATCTAGGACGGTTATTTATAGCTATAGGTAGATCTATAGATTCTCATGAACGTCTTTAAGTCTTTATATTTTAATATGTCTACCTGAAATTGTTCACAAGAATATAATATGTATCATTCTTTTTCTCGACCAAATTTGAATAATTGCTATCTAATTTTACTTGAGAAGTAATGTCTATGGTAACACAGACTATGGTGCCCTGAAGCAGATAAAAAACATGTATACATGTATTAATAAAAGCTGGATCTCTGTGTTTTTATCTGGTTTTGCAGTTGTTTATCCGCAATGTATGATCATCAAAGTATAACAGATTTTATGAAGTCAACTTCCATCAGATGTCTAAGATCAGTAATAATATCATATTCCTATATGGTAATATATACAGTATGTAAAACTACATGTATTGGAATATAGTATTACAGTATGAAAATCTAGATGTCCAAAATTACTTATTTTTTCAGTTAATGCTTATCACAAGTAGCAAAGAGCCAGAGAGATGGATTGTCCCAGGTGGTGGAATTGAGCCCACAGAAGACTCACTATTCGCTGCCCAAAGAGAGGCTCTTGAAGAGGCGGGTGTAAAAGGAGTTGTCAGCAGAGAACTTGGAGTATTTGAGGTTGGTTATTCTCAAAATATACATTCTATTGATTCGATACAAATTAGCTGTTTTCTCTTGAGAATTTTTTCTTTATACACAAAATACTATTTTTCTAAATCAAAAGTCAAAAATGCCTATTTAAAGGCAGTTGAGTTTTGTCAAAAGATGCAAATAAAGGTTGGTGTATGTCTTTTGATCTCTCCAAAGGGCTGTTTTGTTGTCATCTTGTGCTGCTGGATTGTTGGGTGTGCCACATGAATCTTGTTGCAAAATTAAGGTGGGTGCAGCACCTACATGTTTTATTCTATGGAGAACACATATTGTTAATATAGATATCATATCAAAATATCAGTCTAAATTCAATCTCGTTCAAACATATCAGTATTAATTATGATATTTCTAGTCAAAATGACAGACCTCTCTTTAAATGCAATTCATGGGTTAACTAAAATGATTGGTATGTTTGCTGGGATATGTTGCCCTATGGTGTTGCTGTTATGTAGTTTTTCTATGCCTCTCTCCCCTAATTCATGAAGCATATTTGTTACATTTACAAAAATAAGGTACTGTTCTATCCTTGAACTAAGACATTTAGCAACAAGTTTATGTTGACTTTGGTATAGTGAGAATTTAGACCACTTTCTCGGCTAATGAGCATTCTACAAGATATTATTCATTTTTAATGATGACTTACACCCAAGCAAATATGTATCTGGTCTAGTCTATATATACATATTTCTTATTTTGATGTTAACCCTTTTTGGCTGAATTGAGTCCATTGGCTCACATTGTCAAATGGAACATCTGTTGTTGGAACACCTTTTTCATATAGAACATTGATGACCCATCTGATCTATATACATATTTCTTATTTTAATGTTGACCCATTTTGGCTCACATGAGTCCATTGGCTCACATTTTCATATGGCACGCCTGTTGTTGGAACACCTTTTTCATATAGAACATTAGTGACCAATCTGGTCTGTATTTCTTATTTTGATGTTGACCCTTTTTGGCTCACATGAGTCCATTGGCTCACATTGTCAAATAGAACACCTGTTGGTAGAACACCTTGTTCATATAGAACATTAGTGACCCATCTAGTATGTTTACATATTTCTTATTTTGATGTTGACCCTTTTTGGCTCACATGAGTCCATTGGCTCACATTGTCAAATGGAACACCTGTAGGTGGAACACCTCGTTCATACAGAACAGTTTTTTTCTTGTTCAGCGACCCATTTTTTTCTAGTTCAGCAGCCCATTGGATATTAATGAACCTCTCTATCAATAGAACACTTCTTGTCCCAAGGTTGTTCTACTTACACAGATTTTAATCTACATGTACATATATTTCACCATTGCTAACTCTTGTAAGATGCCTAATACCAACAATATCTGAAACGGATTACATAAATAGAGAATACTTAGGGAAAGCATACATAAACATTTATAAATCCTTCCACTAAATTTTAACATCTGTGGAACTACACTGGTTTCAAACAAATATTTTGGCCAATCTGAGTTCTGTTGCCTCAATACTCCATTAGTAATCTTGAAATATAGATGAACCGATTTCTGGTTCACACATACATGGTGTACCCTGCGTGCAGAGTCTAGTTAAACTACACTCTGCCTAGTAGAGACCATATTACAGTTTAGTAGCCCCGCCCCCACAACGGGTACCGGTGACAGTTTGGGTTATAAATAACTTTTGACCTACGCGCTGACCTTTCTTCCAACAATCAGCGAGCTTGAAGAAACATACGCCAAATGCGTTCTAATTAAATATGCGCATGTCATTGGTCAATTCCGGGCTCAACGATGATGTCAGAAGGAATGACCATATATAAAACGTCGGTCAATTTTGGCCGACGAACACTGATTGGCGCGGTGAGTTCACAGGTTTATTTTAGTTTGAAAGAGTGAAGACGAAGCTCTCTTTTAAGAAGTGAAGTCAAACGAATACAAAGGGTAACATGGTGTATCTAGCTCTTTGTACAATTTACAACTCTTTCTGTGTGAACAATGGACATTGTATTATTTTGTTCATTGATAAACTGTATACTGTTCTGAGGACATAGTACTTTCTTTTGTGTACAGTTAATACAGTTAAAGAGAGAATCAGATCTAGCGAACAGGCTAACAAAAAATTCTGGCTTATGTCATTCCTTTTCATGCCTATTTTTCTAAAAATTCGCAAAGTGCACACTTTATATCAGGAAAACTAAAGATTTTCAAAATAATGTATTATTTTTCTCTAAGAATGGTTACCATTCTTATTATTTGGGAGAATTTAAACATTTTCCATCCATTTTTTCAGTTTGAATCCATTATAACTTCACCAATTTATTACATATCATGAATCTTTTGGGAGATATTGTATTTGAGATTGTAAGGAATAGATTGGTAGGTCAATTGTACATGTTGCTTGTAATTTTGTCACCCCCATAGATCTGATTCTGCCTTTAAACCTGTATAACTCAGAATAACTTTGGTATCTCAATATTATCGACAGGTTCTACTTAAAAAGGTGTTTCACTTTACTGTATAGAATGTTTTGTTTGTTTTGAAATATACTGTTCAATGCACAGCCTCATTATCTAACTAAAAAATTGAAGAAGGATCATCTCAAATGAGATCTAGAAATTAAATGTGTGAAATCTGTCTGTTGTTGCCAATGAATTTATAAGCCTGAACCATTTTGATAAGATATCAATATTTTTAAGGACATCTGTTATGAAATACAGCTAAGTAGCCTCCATAAAAAGCAGTCTAAATTGTATCCTTTATTACCACAATATATTGTGTTCATTTACAATTTTACTTTATATTGAAATATTATGCTTTGAATATATTGTAAATATAGCCTTGACTTGAATCATTGCTTTATCATCTTCAGATTTAGAAATGTGAAATATAATGTCATCATCACCAATTCTAAATACATAGATTCAAAAATGCAACTTTTGCCGCATCCATGGTATTGCAGAAACGTAGAAAATGCTCACAATACATTTTATTCAGTGAATGTATTAAAGCTAGACAGCATACAGGACATCTAAACTATATGACTCTTTTGGTGATAATACTGCTTCATTATCCATTCATTGTGCAACATCAAATGAAAATTGATTTTCCTTCATATTATATATAGGATTATTTAAGTTTGGCTTATTCCCTGTGTATTTGTGTACTTTTCATTCTGTCAATATTTGTATCAGTCATGATCTATCGGGTTAGCATGAGTCAATCATATCCAATTGGATATTTGGATTTTTTTTGTATAGAGGGTGGGCCAAAAGGGTAACATTTTTGCCCCACTCTGTATATACTGAGCCTAAATTCCCAATATTTTCCTACATTAGCATTTATTTGATTTGCATGAAGATTGTGCTTAGCCTTTATTGTCTTCTGATGAAGTACCATAGACAAGTCAAGTTTGGACTTGATAAAGAATACCAATGGCGAAATTCTGAGTCATATACTTTAACTATCATCTTGACTCTTCACTGTTCTGAAGACTTCAGTCTTAATTTTTGTTATCCTGTGCTAAGGGCTGATGTGAAAAAAAGTCAGTATGGTCCAATGGGGATCAAACTCATACTTAACTTAGCCCTATGGAGCTAAATGTCTCCTTTATTTCATGATAATGTGACTTAATATCACATCGGTGATTTCATAAATTGGCAACTCTGACTATTCCATGTGAATTGGGCAATTTTCCAGAAGTAAGTAATCAAAGGCGGCAAGATATTATTTCATTATTCTTGCAAAATGCCATTCAGAGTGTCATTGTGTGGTAATGAGAAATTCAGAACTTTCTATGTGTAAGCTAACATAAATGCTCTGTAAGGAATGAGATGGTAACCTTGGAAAGAAGGAAACAAATTACATAACCTATTGTGGCTTTTGGCATATTAGATCAGTATGCTTCTGTCTAAGTCTCATGGGTGAAATAAAACACATTTGTGGACTCTTGAGTAGGATCCATTAGCACAAATACACAATAAGGGCATTATGGTGTCATTTAAAGAGCATTTGAAATAGAACTTGCCTATATGATTGTTGTGATATGATCTTGCCCATGAACTGAGATTTGGGGAATTGTCCAGTTTAGCAATACTTTCTCCGCATATATTTATCTTTATACTCCATTTTAAATGACCATCTCTTGCAAGACTGGTGAAACTCGGATTCTGAAGACCAGTTATATTAATTTATACAGGAACAGCTTCTGCCCCTTGTAATATGGTATTTTCATGTGTGTTTGTTTTCAAAATGATTAATGGGAATTCCGTTTGTCACATGCCTCCATTGATTGTCTTTATAGAGGGTCTCTATGACCTTTTCATATCTGACTTGATACAAATGCAATTTTATGAAAAAAGATGCCATGACCTGACCCTGCCTTCATTTGCAGTAAAATAATAGACCAATTAGTGTCAAATTGTGATATTGTTATCACACCATCATATCTTTTAGGATTATATTTTAGTAATTTTTATCACACTAACAGTGTTGAGTAGTGCATAACTGACATTAGCTGCATTTTATCAGTGTTATAGTAAAGCTCTACATCCAATTTAGAAAACCTGTTTGCCCATTTCTCTGTCCTTTTAACCTGGCATTCTATTCATCCGTCCATCTGTTGGTTCAGGTACCTGTGCCCCAATGTTGCATAGTTGTAAATAGACACATAATTTCTTACATTGTTTTATTTCAGAATTGTGACAGGAAGACTCGGACACATGTATTTGTGTTGATAGTGACAGAGGCAGTCGAGGATTGGGAGGAGGCCATCAGTATGGGTAGGTTCAATTTTGATTAATAGAAGGAGATGCCTGATCATCTGAATAAGGATGTAGGGGCATTTTGTTTATCATCTGATAAAAATGCATATGAATTCTGCAGAATTCAAATTTAAGTATTTATGTCTGACATATTAAGATTGAAACCATAATCCATAATTCAGCCATAATTCAATAAATTGTGTTAAAATTCTTATTGAAGTTTATACTTTAAGCCATTTACCATACAAAACACAGTGATTGGTTAAAAAGATAATTGTTATAACTGAAAAGTATACATCAGATTATTGATTTGTGTTGCAGACATTATATATTAAGGTCAATATGGATTGTGACAAAAACCTATTTCCCATACTGTAATTTTAAGGACTTAACTAATAAAATAAGTTATAGGATGCAAACTTATTTCATTCTCCCCCAGGGACTTTGCTTATTGATGGACATTACCGGCTCACTGGTTAAGTACAAAGCTAAAACCTAATTTCTACACAAGCCCATAGGTCTAGCTAAATACGAATAAAGACTGTAGTGCACTGTAACACATTGATTTTTTTCAAAGTCAGAAATGTCCATGTAACACTTCATAGTGAGGTTCTGTTATCATTGTCATAACCCAAGGGGCAGTTGATGAATAACTACAGTTTGGAATCAATATACAGCGTATACAAGTTCCTTCCCGATGAATAGGGATTATAAATCCTTAATGAAAACTGTCAACTTATTGTTAAACTATTTCTTGGCATTTCCCGCATTGATCCTATTTCGTGACAGAGATAAGATAACTTCTGGCTTTTTTATATTCTGTATGGCATGTTAGTGTCAAGAGAAATAGAAATGTCTAACGTGATAAATATTTTAGTTAAGAGTAAAAGAAATCGGTTCATGTTTGTGCAATTAAAAATCTGAATAATAATCACTCACAGATCAAAAATAAATGTTATTGAATTTAAAGTTATCAACTGAACACATTTCAATATGGTTGTAGGCAGTAGCTGATGCAACCTAATACATGGTCACGAAATTGAACATTGTCGTTAATTGAAAATGTGACAATTTGTTTCAATATATTTAGTTTACACCTTCATATAACACTACCTAAATAGTACCTCATTCTGTAGGTTATGTTAGTAAATCATGTATTTTCTCTTTGAATTAAGATGTCATGTTTTCGAATATTGCAGGACTGTTCATCATTCTATACAATGAGCAAAAACATTGAAAATATCCATGTTACCAATCCATTCAATGTAAATAGCAAAATAAATGTGACCAATTAGATGTCACATTTACAAACATGATCAAATGAGAATTGAAGCAGTCCAGCCTAGTGCCTGTTGCTGGATTGGGTCAATAATCCAGCATAGATTCTTCAAGACTGATGATCTATCATGTGAAGGGTGTGAAATATTGACAATTTGCAGTATTGTCAGGTATTACTGTTCAAATATAGTGATTATTCTGATTAGTTAGAAGTTAGATGTATAATGTAACATACAATTCCTTCTTCAAATTCCAAATATCAAATGATCTGTATGTCACAACTGGCATTCTGAATTCTATCGGGAAACTAGCATTTGTAACAAACTGTTACCTTTTTTATGTCCCCACCACATAGTGTGGGGCCATATTGTCGGCCTAGGCGCGTCCGACTGTCTGTCCGTCCGTCTGTCCGTCCGTCCGTCTGTCCGTACGTCCGGGAGTTTTCTCCAAAACTGCTACAGACATCGCCTTAAAATTTTCAGGGATAACTTATGAGTGCCTATAGATGTGGATGAAAAAAATTTAACTCGAAACCTACTTCCTGTCGGCCATTTTGAAGTCAAATGCTAAAATCCTTGTCTGCAAACTTTAAGAAAAACTGCTTCACAGTTGCTTTTAAAACTTTAACATCTTGTTCAGCTCACTTCATTCTAGATCTGATTAGGTTTTGGACCTGTTAGCTCAGTCATGTCAGCCATTTTGAATGTCTTAAGAAAAGTTAGCGCGCGATAATACTTTGTATCATATTGAATGGTGTTTTTGAGTTTTCATACTTTAACTATTTAGTAGCTTTATAAATAATTTCAGATATACTTTGTTGTAAAAGCCTGCTTTATTGTTAACAGTAGTTATATGTGATAATTTTGTAAAAAGAAATCAGTAAGAACTCATAAGGACTTATTTATTGTCGGCCATTTTGGATTTTTCGGACCTAAAATCTTGTCTGTGAAGTCTTGTCTGCGCGTTTTCAGGTGAACCGTTTGGTGGATCAATTTTAAATTTTCAGGGATAATTCTTAGTATAAAAATCTAGATCTCATTAGTTTTCTGGCATTCTGGGTAAATGTCAAGGCAGCCATTTTGGATTTTCCGTCCTAAAATCTTGTCTGTAAAGTCTTGTCTACGCATTTCCAGGTGAACCGTTCTGTAGATCAATTTCAAATTTTCAGGGATGATTCTTAGAATGAAAATCTAGATCTGATTAGTTTTTTGGCATTCTGAATAAGTGTCAAGGCAGCCATTTTGGATTTTCCGTCTTAAAATCTTGCCTGTAAAGTCTTGTCTACGCGTTTTTAGGTGAACCGTTTGATAGATCAATTTCATATTTTCAGGGATGATTCTTAGTATGAAAATCTAGATCTGATTACTTTTTGACATTCTGCGTAAATGTCAAGGCAGCCATTTTGGATTTTCCATCCTAAAATCTTTTCTGTAAAGTCTTGTATACGCGTTTTCAGGTTAAACCGTTTGGTAGATCAATTTCAAAGTTTCAGGGATGATTCTTAGTATGAAAATCTACAAACAGATTAGTTTTTTGACATTCTGGGTAAATGTCAAGGCAGCCATTTTGGATTTTCCATCCTGAAATCTTTTCTGTAAAGTCTTGTTTACATGTTTTCTGGTTAACTGTGTGACGGATCAATTTCAAATTTTCAGGGGTGGTTCTTAGTATGAAAATCTAATTTTTTGGCATTCTGGGTAAATTTTAAGGTGGCCATTTTGGATTTTCCGTCCTCAAATTGTGTTGGTAAAGTCTTGTCTACTCATTTTCAGGATAACCATTTGACGGGATCACCCATTGGTGGGGACATTTTGTACACATTTGTGTTCTTGTTTAACAATTGGCAGATGTTGGCATTTTGAAATGTTTTGAAAATCTTGTTAAATATGAACCTATTTGCTGTTGATTTGTTGATACCCTCCACTTAGAAGAATAATTTATGAAGAAAGACAAACAATCATGATTACAGACTCAACAAGATACTATTTTTCTCGAGACTAAGTAAGAGCAGACTTCCCTTAGTTCATGGAGATATTCTGTCACATGAACGTTTTTTTAAGCAAGACATAACTATCATCGTCTTTCATATATTTTATATGCTAAACCTGGACTCATATGCTGTAATTGTAGCATAAAATATTCAAAATAGACAGTTGATTTATTGAGATTTCATCAAATAAACAAAATATCCCCATATTGCTAAGATCAAAGAATATTCTGTATGAAAAAGCATCCATTACTTATTGATTACCCTCGTATATACATTAGATACCTGCCAAATACGTACTTTAGATTATTGATGATGTTTCCAATAATAACTCTCAGAACTGCTAGATTAAACTTGAGACATATTAATATGTTAGCTAGGTAGACATAACACAACTTCATATCATAATTAAATCATCCCACATTGCATTTTATCTTTTTTGTCTACGTCAAAGGATCCATAATACTGTTGTTATAGTATTGTTGTTGCCTATATCTTATATCTATATTACTTCATCATATTTTGTATGAATTAAAAACTATTTGGAGACAGTCCTAACAACATTTCTTTTTGTCATATTCAGTATTATATATTTTTCTTCTTTTGCACCTTGTGACTCCATGTACATTTTCTATAAATCCAAAAACCATTGTATCTTATTCAAAGAAATACAGAGATATTACTTAAATGTTTGTCAACATCAAAATAAATGTGGATACATGGACATTACCCTGCATGCAAAGTTTAGTTATAAACTACCCTCTGCCTAGTATGTAGAGAATTAAAGTTTAGTAGCCCTGCCTCGACGTTCGATGCCCATGATAGGTCGGGTCATTAATAATTTCAAACCTACCTTGCTGACCTTTTCTCAACCAATCAGTGAACCAGAGAAAATACATGCTAAATGCGTACTCATTAACTATGTGGTGATGTCAGAGGAAATGGCCATATGTAGAAAGGGAAGCGTAGAAAGTTGTCCATATTTCGATGATGAACTCTGATTGGCTCAGTGAGTTCAGAGATTCAATGTAAACTGGAAGAGTGAAGATGAAGCTCTCTTTTAAAAAACAAATGCAAACAAAAGCAAAGGGTTCATGTGCATATGTTCACATTTTTTATTTTGACCTTACTGTTACAGAGATCGATGATGATTGGTTACATTATTAACAAATGTAAATTCTTCACCATCTAACCATAAGGTAACAATGGGTCTTTTTGAGATATGATATTATTAAGAACACTTACTATCCTTGTTTTATAGAATCATTAATCACCAGATGGAATAATATCAAGAAAAGGGAATTAATCCATCCATCTTTATTTACTCCGCTCTCTTCAGCTGAAAATCGTGAAGACTGAGTCTTTGAGTGTGCAACGATGTAATCTATTGCAGATGTTAAGGAATACATCCATAATCATTCTGATACCCATTACATCCCTGTGTAAAACTAGCAACATCCATGACTGAGAAGAATCAAGGTGACTTTGATAATCAAATTGATCTACGATATCTTGTAAGCGTGATAAGATAAGTGTGAAGGTTGAACATGATACAGAAATGACATTACATAAATATACGAAGAAGAAGTCCAAAACAGTATCTTTAATATTCTAATCATCAAGGTAATCAATAAAATTGAACTTTATCTTGTTACTATGCATATTGAAGATGGAATTGTTAACAATACAGTCATCAATTTTTTTATGTATGTTGATTAGGCATCAAAGGCTATACATGACGTATATACTCGAA